CCCTCACATCCCCAGCCGGGCCGTGCCCGGTGCCGCTCGCTCACTCCCATCCTCGGACCCTCAGCTGGGCCGTGCCCGGTGCCCGGTGCCGTTCACTCCCACCCTCAGCTCCTCATCCCCGGCCGTGCCCGGTGCCGCTCGCTCGCTCGTTCGCTCGCTCCCACCCTGGGACCCGGGCCGTGCCCGGTGCTCACCCCCGGCCGCTCCCGCTCCGCCGCTCCCGGCGCCGCCCAGCCCCGCCGCGCCCGCCGCTTCCGGCCCCCGCCCCGCGCGCCGGATGTGCGCACGGCGAGCGGCGCGGCGCGGCGGGGGGGCGGGGCTTGGGGAGAGCCGCCGTGCGATTGGTGGTCGGGACGGGAGGCGTGGCCAGAACGGCTGAGAGGTGTGGTGAAAGGGGTGGAGCTTCGGGGCGGATTCCGCCCTGCGATTGGTGGATTGAATGGAAGGCGCGGTTTATTATGCGATGGGCGTGGTGATGGGCGTGGTCTCATGTGTGGGCGGGGTTACGAGTTCGGGACCCCCGGGGGGATTTGGGACCCCTGGAGGGGCTGGGAGGGCTCCGGGACCCCCAAAGGGTCGCACCGAGGGGCTGGGGAGGCTCCGGGGTTCGCACCGAGGGGCTGGGGGCGTCTGAGAGCCCCAGCAGGGCCAGCTGGGACCCTGCCGGGTGGGCTGCTCGTGCCCCAGGAGGGGCTGCTGGGGTATGGGGGGGTCCTCAGGAGGTTTGGGACCCCCGAAAGGGGTTGGGACATTGACCGGGAAGGAACGGGACACTGTCCCGGTAATGGCTGGGACACGTTGCCAGGCTGGCAAGGAGGAGGAGGAAGAAGAGGAGGAGGAGGAGGAGAAGCCGCGGCCGCCGCTTCCTGCCCGGCTGCGCTACCAAAGATGGTCACGGCTCGGGGATGGGGCTCGGAGCCGGCGGCGGAGCTCTGCTGACACCCAGCGGGGCTCTGTGACACCGGTGATGCTCTGCAGGTCCCGGTGATGATCTGGTGACACCGGTGGGGCTCTGCTGTCATGTGGGAACCTGTGCTTGGCTCAGCTCGAGGTGTTTGAACCAGCCCTGGGCAATTCCTGCTGCCCCAGGATCCTTCCAGCCCAGGACAATCCATCCTCACCCCTGGGATGTTCCACAAACCCTGCTGCCAGATAAACCCCAGGCTTTTTGCCCCTTCCCCTGTAGATAAGGAGGGGGTTTATTCCTTTATTCCTCACCCTCTGCAGGGAGAGACTCTTCACACTCCCACTTTTCCCCTGCAGGGTGAATAGACTCAGCTGTCACCTCTGGAATTGTCCCTGCAGGCACTCTGAGGTCCTGCCCCCTTTGCTTTCTGGTTTCCTCAGCCCGTTCTCCACCTTGCCCACACCCGCTGTGCCCCCTGCCCCGTCTCCGTCACCAAAATAGAAAATAAGAAATAATAAGAAAATAACTCGTGTTTTTCAGCATCCTAAAAATCGCTGTAGGGAGAAGCAGCCAGGTGCAGGAGGAATCCAGGTGGGCAGCACCCGTGGGGAAAGAAAGGAGAAATCCCAGAGAACAGGGAGAGAAATAAAAAATAACTCAAGAATAGGGAAGGGGAGAGCGGGGCTGCCCTGCCCAGGTCATCCTCAGCAGTTCCTGGAGGAATAAAAAGTTACTTAAGGAATAAAAAAGTTCCTGGAATGGCTGGGGCATGGAGGAGTGCTGTGTGTCAGTGACCTGCTCCATCCCTGCTGCTCATCTCCCTTTTCTCCAAGCTCCCTAGGAATATTTACTTCATTTTTCATATTTATTCCGTGTTTCAGCCCTGTTTTGTCTAAAACATCTCAGCCTCCCTCACACAGCAGCTTTTGGGCTTTTGCAGCCATAGGAGAGGAAAAAGCCAAAGGTTTTTGTGTCACTCGTGGTGGGATGAGTGGGCACTGCAGCCCAGCTTCGTTCTTGGGAAAATGGATTTATTTATTTTTATTTTTTTCCAGCAGGAAACCACGTCACTACCTGATCATTTCTGCCCGTGTGCAGCAGCCCTGGGGCTGCTAACAAACTTGGGAACAGTGGTTTTTGCAAAATATTAACCAAAGCCCACCAAACCCACGTCAGCCCGTGTTTGCAGATGGCGAGAGCGACCTCAGGCTGGTGGCACAGCCAGGGTGACCCCTGGGGACAGCTGTGACACCGTCCTGGGTTAACTCTGCTGTCCCCAGGTGGTGTCAGAGCCCAGCACAGCCCGCTCCAGCATTCCTGCTGCCTCTCCCCAGGCTGAGCTGATTCCCAGCTGGATCTGTCCCCTGATCCAGCCTCCATGGGGACCCTGAGGTGACATCCCTGCCTGTGGGAACCTGTGCTTGGTGTTTGGAACCAGCCCTGGGCGATCCCTGCTGCTCCAGGATCCTTCCAAGCCCAGGGAAATCCATCCTCACCCCTGGGGTGTTTCACAAACCCTGCTGCCAGATAAACCTGAGAGGTTTTGCCCTTTCCCTGCAGAAAAGGAGGGGGTTTATTCCTTTATTCCTCACCCTCTGCAGGGAGAGACTCTTCACACTCCCACTTTTCCCCTGCAGGGTAAATAAATTGTCACCTCTGGAATTGTCCCTGCAGTCACTCTGAGCCACTGAGTCCTGCCCCTTGGAGTTCTGCAGGTTCATGTGCTGATTTTTTGTTTGATTTTGTGCCCTTTGCACTCATCTGGTCCCCAGAGCAGACCAGAACCCGCTGCTCTCCCCTCCTGCACAGCTCCCCCACATTCAGGGCTGGCCCAGGAGGGTGTGGGACCCTCAGGTGGGATCCAGGGCTGATTTCCAGCCCAGCCCTAGAAATGCACCCTGCCTTTTCCACCTCCTGCCCCTCACGACATGCTTCCCAGCACCTGGTGGATTTTCTCCATGCCCAGGCTGTGTGTGCATTAAGCTGTGGGTACAGGCAACACCTCCCTGTGTGGTTTTTTCCACTCATTTCTTCTCCCCGCTTGGAGTGAAGCCCTCTGTGAGCAAACTGGAGCACAATCCCAGCTCCCAGGCTGGAGCCCTGCCCAGGGCTCGAGGGTTATCAGCTCTCATGGTCACTTTCCCCCCACACACATCTCATTTTCTTCAAAGCCTCAGACAGGGCAGGCATGCTTAGTGAGGAATAGCCCACAGTTCAAGCTCCTCTGGGTGGTTTTAGTCTCTTGGGCTGGCTGAAAAAACCCAGAGACTCCTCCTTATGAACTCCACAGAGCCAAAAAAACAAGGAAAACAAGGAGGCAAAGAATAGAGTGTCCCTTATTTCTGTCTTTGAGTAAAAACAAAGGCTCTCAGCAATGTTTGCAAGCCCTGGAGCAGCAGCACTGCCCACACCCCTCAGAGGCAGCCAGGTCATGGCCAGGGCTGGGATAACTCCTGGCCAGGAGCAGAGCAGGGTCAGAACAGTCCCAACAACCCCGAGCTCTGGTGGCTGCAGCCTTCCTCCTCCTCCTCCTCCTCCTCCTGCAGAGGATGCTCCTGCCACCCACCTGCCCCAGCACAGGGGCTGCAGAGAGAGCTGGCTTTGTCCTGCCCCAGAAATTCCCCAGCCATGGGGCCCTGCTGAGCACAAAACCAGCTCCCATCCCTCACCCCCATCCCACCCTCTGCCTTTTTTCTGGGAGCATTCCCAGCTGATCCCTCTGGCTATTTTTAACCACCCCCCATCCTCATTCCTGTCCTTTGTACCCAAATGTGGAACAAAGGACGAGCCACATCCTTCCCCCCAGACCCCCCACTCTCAGCTCAGCCCTGTCACCTGTCCCCTTGGGGAATTCACCCCATCCATGGAGGTGGCTGCTCCCAGCCCCTTTTCTCCAGCTCCTGGAGGCACTGGGGAGCGCAGGGCTCTCCCCCTTTGTGCCGTGGGAGCAGGGAATGTGAGAGGGGGGTATAAATATCCAGGGAGATTAGTGCTCCCCAGCGCTCTGCCCGTGTTGAGTGTCACCCACAGCCCACATTCCCTTTTCTCTCCCCGCTCTCCAGCTGCCTCTCCTGTTTCCAGCCTGCAGTTCACCATCCCTGCTGGCAGCACTTTGATTTCATTCCTCCCTCCGCCCCCCTCTTGAAAAGGAGCAAATAATGGAGCCTTTGTTGGGTGCAAGGAGAGGCACGGGGGCAAGGGGCCGAGCACAGCCTCCTGCCTGGATTATGGCATTCCTGCACCAGGGCTCAGCAAAAGTCAATCCTGCACCCCGTGGTGGCTGAAGGGACCCTGGGCTTGCTGACGGCCGTGAAAAATCCCAGCTGAGTGGAAAAAAAAGGAATTCTTCACACCCACCGCCGACTTCCCCCACTTTTATGTAAATTAATATTAACAGGTCCTCGGGTTTGGGCTCTGTACAGATATATACAAACAGGAAGCAGCTTCATATTTACATCGTTAAGTTAATTAGGCTGTGTAAAAAAAGCACAGGTCCCACATTCGTGCCCTCTGTAGAGACAGCAGAGGTGAGCTCAGTCCTGGGCACAGTGTAATGTACACTAACAATCACCCCCAGGCACGGCTGATCCTGGCAAAACCATCCCAGGCCGGGCTTCCCTGCCCTCCAGAGCCCAGCGGGGAGAGTGCTTCGCCCTGGGGAGGCACCACCATGTGTGTAATGTACACTACCAGCGCTCTGTGTGCCCCGTGCAAGGCACAGGACGGGCACAGATCCCGAGTTCTGGGCAGTGGATCCTCCCCATGGCTCCTCTAGGGTCCCATGCAAGGCACAGGACGGGCACAGATCCCGAGTTCTGGGCAGTGGATCCTCCCCATGGCTCCTCTAGGGTCCCATGCAAGGCACAGGATGGGCGCAGATCCTGAGTTCTGGGCAGTGGATGCTCCCCCAGCACCTCCAGGGCCCTGTGCAAGGCACAGGATGGGCACAGATCCCAAGTTCTGGGCAGTGGATGCTCCCCACGGCTCCTCCAGCACCCTATGCAAGGCACAGGACAGGCACAGATCCCATGTTGGAGGCAGTGGATGCTCCTCATGGCTCCTCCAGGCTGGGGGGTCAAGCCCCTGGGGAGCCCCAGGGTGAGCAGCCAGCCCCAGCCCGGGTCACACAATGCTGGCCAGTTCTGTGTTGTCCGACTCCGAGCTGCTGTTGCTCTCCTCCCTGGGGGAAAGAGTTGGGAATGAGGCGTGGATTAACCCACAGGAGCCAGGGCTGCACCCCAACAATGCCTGCCTTGGGGAACAGCAGCCTCCAGAGGGATGTCAGCACCTCGTGGGGTGTGCACCCCAACGCAGGCAGCCGGGGCAGGTCCCTGCTGATCTGCCAGCACTTCACACCACCCCTCTGGGAGCTGGGATTGGGAAAACAAGTCAGCCCTTCCCTCACGCCACCGCCCACGGGGCCTGGAGGATTCCTGGACAAGCCCCAGTGTGTCCCAACCCGTCTGCTCCTGCCCCCACACACACCCCCACGGGCTGTGCTTGCTGCTCACCTTAAATCCTGCAGGGCTTTCTTGTTCTTGCTCCTCTTCTCCTCGTCGATGGGGTAGAGCTTGAAGAGCAGCAGGCTGAGCAGGATCAGCCCCACGGGCACGGCAGACACCAACATCTTCAGGGTGAAATGCACCTGGCCAGGCTGGGAGCAGCCCCTGGTCTGGTACCCTGCAAAGCTGTGGGCAGAAAAACACTTTCAGACAAAGAAATGGGGTTTGCAGGGGCTCTCTGCTCCCTGTGGGGAGAGTTTTGGGATGACAGCTGGGTTTGGAGCCCATCAATCCCCTCCCAGAGGTTGGGAAGTGCCTCCCTCCCTGTCCCCCAGGCAGGAACTCACTCCAGGCTGAGCGTGGAGATGCCCAGGGACACCCCAGCTGTGAACTTGGTGAAGAAGACGTAGAAGGAGAAGAAGATGGCCTCGTGGCCATGGGAGCTGGGGTGCTGCAGCTTGAAGTCATCGATGACATCAGGCAGCATGGACCTGTGCAGAGACAGGGACAGTGACCACAAGGGTTGGCACAGCAAAGCCACCTGTCACAGAAATATTTTATCCTTTCTTTAGGATTTTTCGTCCTGAAAAGCTGAGAAGCCTCAGGAACAAAATGTAAACAATGGTTATCTGAAGATGTGGAATGCAACAGGTGGATCTGTGATTGGCCCATGTTGGATGTTTGTAATTAATGGCCAGTCACAGTCAGCTGGCTCAGACAGAAAGCTGAGTCACAAACCTTTGTTATTCATTCTTTTTCTATTCTTAGCCAGCCTTCTGCTGAAATCCTTTCTTCTATTCTTTCAGTATAGTTTTAATGTAATATATATCATAAAATAATAAATCAAGCCTTCTGAAACATGGAGTCAGACCCTCATCTCTTCCCTCATCCTCAGACCCCTGTGAGCACCATCACAGCCACCCCCTCCCTGCTGAGAGCATTTCCCTCAGGAGCCCCACATGGGGCTGCACACATGACCAAAAGCCCTTCTGGGGGTTTTTAGGGCTCTGGAAGCCCCTCAGACTCACCAGGGCAGGAGGAAGGCGGCTGCCACGCTGATGCCAGCGGCGACGGCCACCAGGTAGGTGACAAAGAGGTTACTGTCCAGGAGAACCACGAGGATGAGGAAGGGGATGGCAGACTGCAGGGGGGCAGAGAACAGGTTGGCATCCCCAGAACCCCCTGGCTTTCCCCCCTCCCACACATCCCAGCCCTGCAGGGAGGCAGAGGTGCAGCTTCCCTCCCTGAGCCCCAGCACAGCACACACAGCAGCAGGAGGATGTCACCATATTTTATGAAAAATCCCTTTGCTAGAATCTTTTTTCCTGAAGGGAAACTTCAGCTTCTCCATGTTTTGCTACTTTGGAATGCGATTTGGAGAACTGTTTACCCAGCATGTGAATTGTTTTAATTTAATGTCCAATCACAACCAGCTTTGTTGGACTCTGAATCTGTCACAGGTTTTTATTATCATTCCTGTCCAGCCTTCTGATGTCTCCTTTCTCTTTCTTTAGTATAGTTTTAGTATTTTTTTAATAAAATAAATATTACTTATTATATTTATTATGAGATATATAACAAATATAATAAATAATAAAATAATATAACAAATAATAATAGTATTTATATAATACATTATTATGCTGTTTATTATGCTGTTTATTATGCTGTGGTATCATAATATGATAAATATTATAATATAATGTTTATGATTATATATTAACGTAATAAATATTAAATATAATAAATCAGAATTCTGAGAGCATGGAGTCAAATTCTCATCTCTCACCTCGTCCTGGGGACCCTCACAAACACCACCACAGGAGGACAGGCACCAAATTGGCATTAGCAGCAGGGAGAACTCTTTTGGGGGAATTCTGCTGATCCCACATGGTAAAGACCATCCCCACCTGCACCCCACGCTGAGGGGATGGACACTCACTGAGATGCCCACGTAGACAGCACTCTTCTTCCCAAATCGGGTCAGGAACCACTGCCAGAAGGGGATGGTCAGGGTGGCCGAGAGCTGTGGGGACAGAGGGGTCATGGAGGTGACTCTTGGCTGCTGGAAAGGCCCTTCCCAGCTGCTCCCACCCCAATTCCAGCACCTGGGATTGCCACACACTGCCAGGTGGGGCTGGCACAATGCCACACGTGGAGTGTGGGGCCACGTCCTCCTCCCCCAGAGCAGAGCCCTGGCACCACTCCTGCCCCAACAGGGGAGGATCTGACTCAGTCCTGGGGCTGAGAGGGGACCTGTGCCACAGACACATTTCATGAAAAATCCTTTCCTTAGGATTTTTCCTCCTGAGAAGCTGAGAGGCCTCAGGAACAAAATGTAAACAATGGTTATCTGCTGCTGTGGAATGCAGCAGGTGCATCTGGGATTGGTCTCATGGGGTTGTTTCTAATTAATGGCCAATCACAGTCAGCTGGCTCAGACTCTGTCTTTTGTTCTCATTCATTTTCTATTCTTAGCCAGCCTTCTGATGAAATCCTTTCTTCTATTCTTTTAGTATAGTTTTCATATTTAATAACAAATATAAAAATAAATTATACATATTATATAATAAAAAATATATATTAAATATACATTAATAATAAATATATAAATAATAGTAATTCTATAAATAATATAATAAATATATATTTGATATAATAGCTATATATTAAATATATAATATGATATAATATATATTTAATAATATACATAATAAAAGAATTTTTATATTCTATAATATTAATAAATATATGAACTATATTAATAATAAATATATTATTTATAATATATATTCTATAATAAATAATATAATAATAAATATTTATTTGATATAATAAATATACCAAATATATCTTATTATATAATACAAATTTAATAATATAGATCATAAAATAATAAATCAAGCCTTCTGAAACATGGAGTCAGAGCCTCCTCTCTTTCCTCATCCTAAAACCCCTGTGAACACCATCACAGACCTGATCTTGTCACAGCATGGCCAGGAGCCAGGCCCTGTTGGCACCATGGCACCTTGGGCCTTCCCACCCATGAGGAGAGGCTGGCAAGTGCTTCCAGGAATGAGGAAAGCTGCAAAGAGCTCTCAGGGAGCTGCTCTGCTCCGTGTTCCTGGCAGCAAACACTGAGATCCTTTTCTCAGAGCAGGGAGGGGAGGGACACAAGTGGCAGGGTTTGCACAAAAGGCCCCCGAGGCTCCTGGTGTCCCCCATCTGTGGCCTTGCTCACGCAGGAACAAAGGCCCCGCTGTTCCTGCCAACCCATCCAGCCCTTGCAGGACATTTGGCAGCTTCTCCTCCCTGCCCTTGTCCCAGGGGATCACTGTCCCTGTCCCTCAGGCCGCGCCAGCCCCCAGGGAGCCCCCCAAGGGCTGCAGGTACCCACCATGATGGCCAGCAGAATGTTCTGGAACTCGTTGCGGAAGCCCAGGGTGTAGGTGCAGAAGAGGGCAAAGTTTCCCTCCAGCAGCTGTGGGAAAGGCACAGGCAGGACAGTCACACCCCCAGCACAGACAGGGGTCAGGGGGGACACGTCTGTCCTCACACAGCCACACTCCCAGCCCAGACAGGGGAAGAAAGCGGCCATTGAGCCATCCACTGAGGGCACGAGGCCACATCCTCTTCCTCCTGCCCGGGGCAGCTCCGCCTCACCCACCACGTGCTCCCAACCCCTGGGATTGTCCCCACAGCCACCCCCAGTGCTGCTCCCTGTCCCCAGCTCACCATGAAGGCCAGCGAGGTGAAGAGGAAGCCGGCGATGAGTTTGATGTAGGGCCTGTGGTTCATCACCAGCTTCAGCCCCTGGAAGAAGGAGACAGGCTCGTCCGACTGCAGCTCACAGGACTCTGGGGAGCAGAGATCAGCCCAGCGTTAGAGCCCCCCAAAAAACAGCACCCTGGGTGCCCCATCCTGCTGCTCAGCACCCTCCAGAACCCCTGCCCACCCACAGCATCCCAGCCCCTGCCTCACCCACAGCCCCGCTGATTCCCCCAGGATAAGCAGGGAGAGGGAAGGACGCAAGTTTGGATATCACATCCCCCCGGGATGCCCTGGTTGGCACTGGCAACCTTGGCCAGCCAAAAATGGCTGAGATAAAGGTTATCTAACAGACCCCAGAGGAGCTCTGGCCTCCTGCAGCACCTCCCCAGACCCAGAGCTCAGCTCCTCCTACCCCTCTCCTCAGGGAGAGCCACGAATGAGGGGCCAAAAGCTCAGCCAGGCTCCTGGAGAGGAGGGAACAGCAGCATTTCCACAAATCCTGAGCATTCCAACCCCTGTCCAGCCTCACCTCTCCTCTCCCTCACGCCCAGCACCAGGATGAAGGCACAGAGGACATAGAGCCCCCCGATGACCCCAGCAGCGATCATGTAGGCATTTCTCTGTGCAAGAGAGGGAGCAGCAGTCAGGGAAGGGGCTCAGACAGAGAAAGGGGCTCAGCCCTGCCCCAAGGGGAGCACACACCAGGGCACCCCCAGCTTACAGTGTCTGTGAGCCCCCCGGTGTCGTGGGTCATGTTCAGCTCCTCCATGGCCACCGAGGAGTTGGTCAAGCCAAAGAAGAAGGGGCTCCCCACGCAGGGAGTGTCCACCTTGCCAACGATCTGGCCCTGGATGGCAGTGCCCAGCACGGTGCCCAGCACCTCCACGGTCATTCCTGCAGGGAGAGGCCAGCGCTGAGCACAGCAGGGCATCCCCAGCTGGGATTCACTGCCCTTCAAGGGGAGAAATGGGCTCCAAATCCCTGAGGGATAAAGGGAAGAGGGAAGGGGGGAAAAAGGGAAGGAAGGAAGGAAGGAAGGAAGGAAGGAAAAGAAAGAAGGAAGGAAGGAAGGAAGGAAGGAAGGAAGGAAGGAAGGAAGGAAAAGAAAGAAGGAAAGGGGAAAAGGAAAAAGAAGGAAGGAAAGGGGAAAAGGAAAAAGAAGAAAGGAAAGGGGAAAAGGAAGAAGAAGAAAGGAAGGGGAAAAGGAAAAGGGGAGCTCTCACGGTAGGCAGTGGCCGAGTCCCGCTCGCTCTGCTCCCTGCTGATGAACATGGTGAGGGCTGAGTAAGGCACGTGGAAGCACTGCAATGGCACAAGGAGAACCGGCTCAGGGAGGATGTGACGGCACAGGGGACCTGGGGCAGGGTGGTTTCAGCCCCTCTGTGCAGCTCAGGGGCTGGCAGCCTCCGTGCCAGGTGTGAGCAGAGCCTGACTCACCGTCACGAGGGTCTGGAAGGCACAGTAGAAGACAAGGTACCACATCACTTGTCCTGTGGAGATGTCTGGCACATACCAGATGAGGAAGTAGGAGATGATGGCGAAAGGGGTGGAGAACATGATCCTATGAGAGAACAAAGTGTCAGCCTGAGCAGCCCAGCACATCCCATGGGCTTCAGGCAGCTGATCTGGGGGCTCGTGAGCTGCCCCAGGGCTGATCCAAACCAGCCTCAAGTCTCACAGGGTCAGAAGAGCTGACTCAGAGTTCCAGGGAAGAGCTTTCCTTGCACTAACAGAGGAGTCTCCTTCCACAGAAGCGATTGATCTGCTCTTGCCTTGGGCTTCCACCCCCAGCCCGACCTCTCCCCCAGGCAGCACTGCTGTGTTCAGCAGGACGTAATCACCCCCCTGATCCTGGCAAGGGCTGGGGAGCAGCTGGGGAACAGCTCAGCCCTGCGCCCCAGCAGCCAAAAACCTCTCACCAGCTTGGCTTTGCTGCCAAGGCCCCCCAGGCCCTGCTCCTGGGGTCAGCCCTGCTCTGCTGGCAGCAGTGGGGCACACCAGCAGCAGGCTGGCCCCTTCCTCCACCTCTGCCCAGAGCAGCAGGAGCAGGGACAGGGGATGCAAAACACAACAGAGGATCAGAGGGGACTGCTCAAGTGCTGGGCCTTGGCAGCAATTCCTGCAGCATTGCCAGCAAGGGCTTCTGCTCTTTTCATCCCGTGGCTCTCATAACCCCTGTCCTGCTGCAGGACAGCCAGGGCACAGCTGTGCCCTGCTCCAGGGACACCACAGGCACCCAGGGCCCCCCATCCCTCAGGGGAGGAGGGAAGCCAGCCAGGTGCTGAGGTTAGACCCACATCTGTTTAGAAGACGGGTTTTGCTGGGAGATTTGTGAGCACCCTGCGCTCCACAAACCCCAGGACAGAGCCTGTGAGGTCCTGGAGCGAGTCCAGCAGACCTGGACATGGGACAGAGCCACTCATGGCCCTTCCCTGCCAGGGTACAGCGAGATCTTTCCAAGATCTTTCCATCTGGGCTGACGTACAGGACGCAAAGCTTAAAGTGAAAGTCGGGGAGGGAGCGGGGAGAGCGAGAAACAGAGACTCCACGGATGGAGAGCAGCGACAGAGGCTGCACAGGACCCAGCACATGCACATTTTTCCACACCCACGTCACTCCTGCAGGGGAAGGAGGGGGGAGGAAAGCGCCAGCAGCTCCAGCCCCTCCTGCTGCCGCTTATCTGCCCTCCCATACGTGGAGCAGAGGGAAACGCAGAGCCAAAAGCTGAATGAAAGCACCAGGAGAGAAGCGAGCAGCGTCACGCCGGCCATCCCATGAGCGTCAGATGCGCCAATTCCCCCCAGCATCGGGCAGCTGAGCCCCAGCCAGGGCTGACCACAGCTCCTGGCAGGCTGTGCAGTGACTGAGAGTAACCCCTGACCCAGGGCGAGGTGATTAAGGAGCTCGGAGGCGGCTGTGACGTGCCCCGGCGCTCATTGGCCCCGCCGCATGGTGTGTTCCTTTGTGCCGCTCGCACGCCCCTTCCCAGCCGGGCCTGAGCTGCTGGAAAACGGCTGGAAAAGGTCAAGGCCAGGGGTTCCTCACTCACAGACACCTCAAGGAAACAGCTCAGGCAGCGGCAAGCCCGCTGCGGTCACGGAAATACGGATCCCAGCCCGGAGCTGGGCATGGGGTGACGTCCACGAGGCTGGGGGGAAAGGAGGAAGCAGACGGTGTGGACGAGCTGGTGGATGGAAATGTGCCAGAAAATGCGTTTCAAAGAGAAGAGGGCTGAAAGGAAGAGAGGTGGTGGCCCTCAGGGAAGGTGTCCTCTCCCTTCCAAGGAATGGAACAGCCACAAGCTTTGTGCTGGAGCCAGCTGGGCTTGGCGCCACAGATCGGGGTCACCTCGCAGGTGTTGAGGGCTGGGGCCAGGCCTTGAGACCACCCCAGTGCCTGCAGCTCCTGCCTTTGCACACAGGGAAACTGAGGCAGCCACACCAGCCTGGGGCCGGCAGAGCCAGAAAAACCTGGGTTTAAGAGGTTTAAGATCAGCTCGGCTCCATCCAAACGGGGCTCAGCGGGCAGCCCTTGAGCCATGCACAATAGCAGCGAGCCGTGGGGCCCAGCGCTAGCAGAAAGAGCTCTGGCTAATTTTAACGAAGCAGGAGCCGCTCGGAGGAATGCGGCCGCTTCAGTCCCACCCCCTGCCTGGAGATTAGGGCGAGCTGAGCCGTCCCCTGGCTGCCCCGCACGCCCAGCCTGCCCCGCGCTAATCTCCGGACCCCAGACCCTGCTGCAGGCAGGCTGAAGCTATTTCAGGCCACGTGTGTGCAGCCTGCCTCCAACAACTGCCTGCTGCTACTGCTGCTGCTGCTGCCAGAGCTATTCCAGGAAAGCCAGGAAGCAGAGGGTATAATTCTGTGGGGGACAGCGCTGCGTCCCTGCAGCTCCACTCACTCCCCCCGTGCCCACCCTCGCTGTGTTTCAGCCATCCCACAGGCACACGGGGTTACTTCAGCCACCCTGTCCCCTGCTCAGGCATTAAAGCTCCTCATCCCACGCAGGAACAGGTGTCCAGGGATGTCCTGAGCCATGTGAGGGCTCACAAAGCCCATCCCTGCTCCCAAGGGCACAGGGAGCACCCGGTGCAGACACCCAGATCCAGCACAGCTGTTTCCCTGCTCTCGTGACTGTCAGCCACCAGCACAGACCTGTCACACACACCCCCAACCCTCCTCCCCGGGGTGCCACCTGCTCTGGTTGCCACCACGGCACCACAGGAACAAAGTCCACCACGCTGGAGTTTGCAGGTGCAGTGACATTTAGGTCAGCCAGGCCCCGCAAGAGCAACAGGCACCAACTCGAGGCCACCCGGCTGTCGGTGGCACCTGGGGCTTTTTGGAGCTCTTGGCACCACACCTGGGCGAGCCAGGGCGTCAGCACAACCTGCCCTGCACTGCCACATGCCAGGAGATACCCGAAGCTGACTGGAAGGGCTGTGACACAGCCCGCAGGGAATGCAGGGCGCTGCCAGCAGCTCTTACCAGGGCATCAGGCGGCCGAAGCGGGTCCAGGGAGTTTTGCTGATGAAGAACCCCACCATGGGGTCCGTGATGGCATCCCACACTCGCCCCACAAAGAGGATGATGGAGGCATAGAAAGCGTCCACCTGCAGGAGGAGGAACTTGGGTCAGGAAATGCAAACCCTCGGTGCTCCCAGCTGCCCTTCCTGAGCCCCTCAGGACCATCCCAGCCCTACCCACTGCGACCCCACAACCACTTGGGAGCAGTCCCTCGGTCTCTCCCCTTCCTTCAGAGGGATTTGAGGCTCCCAGAACCCCCGAGTGGAATTCCCACATCTCAGCCCGAGTCCCCAAACCCAGCACAAGAGGGTTCTCCCACACTTTCCTTCCCTCTGTGTTTCACACCGACCCAGCCCGCTGTAGGACGGGCCCTGTGCCCCCCAAAAATGCCACCACGACCCCGCTTTGTCCCGCACGGCAACAACAACACCGGGGGAAATCCAGAGCGCCCGGGGGTCGGGGCAGCTCCATCCCGGGGGCAAAGCGGTACCGGGGGTCGGGGCAGCTCCATCCCGGGGGCAAAGCGGCACCGGGAGCTCCGGGACCCGCAGCCCCGGGGATCGGGGCACTGCCAAGCCCCCGCAGCTCCATCCCCGAGGGCAAAGCGGTACCGGGGGCTCCGGGGCTCAGGGCAGTTCCATCCCCGGGGGCAAAGCGGTACCGGGGGCTCCGGGACCCGCAGCCCCGTTGCCAATCCCGCCCTCCAGCCCGGCCGTACCTGCGCCACGTCCAGCAGGTAGATCTGGAGGAAGAAGCCGAGGGCACAGCCCGTGATCTGGTACGGAGCCCCCCCGACGGCGTAGCACAGCTTGCTGCACACCGACAGCCGCTCCCGGCTCTCCTGCAAACGGGATGGGTGTTAGCGACCCCCGGCAGCGCCCCCCGCCCCGAACCGGCCCGGAAACCCCCCGGAGCCCCCCGGCGTGCCCCGGGGCTCACCCTGCGGCGGTGCTGGCGGAGCGCGGGCGGCAGGAGCCCCCCGGCCCCGGGCCGCTCCGCGCCGCCGCCCCCGGCCATGCCGCGCGCGATGAATGGAGCGAGCGCCGGCCCGCCCGACCGCCCTTGTACCGGGGGGACCCGCCCCGAGAGGGGCAGGACCGGCCCGCCCCCACCCGCCCCCGCCTCCTCCTCCTCCGCCTCCTCTTTCTGTCCCGGCCCTTCCCGGGCTTCCCCTCCGTGCGTCCCGGTGCTTTCCTTGCCTCTTGTCTGTCCCGCATCCCTCCATTCCCCCGTTCTTCATCCGTCAGCCCCCCATTCCATGCCAGCCCTCCATTCCCCCATTTTCCATCCCTCAACTCGCCATTCCATCCCTGCCCTCTATTCCCCCATTCTCCATCCCTCAACTCGCCATTCCATCCCTGCCCTCCATTCCCCCATTCTTCAGCCCTCAGACCCCCACTCCATCCCTGCCCTTCATCCCTCAGCCCCCCCTTCCACCCCAACCCTCCATTCCCCCATTCTTCATCTTTCAGGCCCCCATTCCATCCCATCCCTCCATCCCCTCATTATTAATCCCTCCATCCTACTCCATCCCATCCCTCCATCCCTGCCCTTCATCCCTCAGAAAGGCAGAACAGTTTGGGTTGGAAGGGGCCTTACAGCCCATCTCCTGTCACCTCCCAGCCAGGTTCTCTGAGCTCCGTCCTCCCTGGCCTTGAGCACTTCCAGCAATGGAGCATCCACCGCCTCTCTGGGCAGCCTGTGCCAGTGGCCCACCACCCTCATCGTTAAAAACTTTCTTTATATCTCACCTAAATCTCCCCTCTTCCAGTTTAAACCATCAGTTTAAACCACCAGTTAAAACCCTTTCAGTTTAAACCCCGTGTTCTGTCACGACAGGCCCTGCCACAAAGGATGCAGGGGACACTCAGTGTCCCCCTGGCTGGATGGCCACATGAACCTCCATCCCAAATCAGTGACACAAAATACCCCGAAACAAGAGAGGAGTGGATAAAGTTTCTCTTTTCCTCAGGGAAAATCTCTTGCCCAGGAGCAGAGGGGACTCCTGTGGTGGCACCTGGCCATGCTCTAGGGACCAAACTCCCCACCATGTGTGACCCCAGCCCCATTACTCCGTTCCCTCTGTCCCAGGGGCTCCTCAGCTCCTGGGAATGCTTTTGGCATTCCTGTCCTTGAGCAGAGCTGCCTCCTGGGCAAACAGGGCTTTGGGGGAACAAAGAGAGGCCCTTGGGACAGAGATTGTGCAGAAAGAGCACAGATAGGGGAGCCCAGCCTTGCATATGAACAGGAGGAGTAGACAGAGCAGGATTTCCCTGGCTTAGGAGGATTTTCTCCCCCAGATCTGCTATTGCACAATTTCCTGTGGGGGATTTGAGCCCTTCCTTCGGGGCAGATGCTCTGGGGGTTCCTCATGGTGATAAATGACCCACCAAGGATGTCCCTGCAGCAGCTCCTGCCCAGCCTGGGGACTCCAGGGATCCACACATGGATGGGATTGGGCCACTCATGGGGTCACCAGAACCACTTCAGTGACACCACACCAGCCTGGCTGGGGACACCTCTGGGGCCTCCTGGGGGATGGGACCCAAATTATTGCCCTGGGGACATGGAAGGGTGGGGGCTCCGGTGCAGGATGCCATCCCTGCTGCCACCCACACTGTCACACATCCGGCAGAGCCTGGAGCAGGATCTGAGCAAGTGTGAGAGCACCCGAAACCAGACAGCCCTGCCAGGCTGGGCCAGCCCTGCCAGGGAGCGTGGGCTGGGGGGCAAACAGCACAGGGTGATCCCAGAGCTTTTGGGGGCCTGAGAGTGGGGAAAGCAGTGCTGACAGCACAGAGCATCCCCAGGGCTCAGGGCACCTCCTGCTGTCGGGCAGGGAGTGACAGTGACAAAATGAGGAGGGAGCAGGGCTGGAACCAATGGTGCATTTTCCTCTCTCCTCCTTTTCTCTGCACGCCCAGGGAGCTGGGGATGGTGTGACCCTGGCCGCTGTCCCCTCCCTGCCAGGCTGGGCAGTTTTTAGTGCTGTTCCTGCAGCCCACAGGGGTTTGGGGTGGCATTCTGCAAACCTCCAGCCAGACTCTGTGCCTGCTGCCCAACAGCTTCTTGGGGACAAAGGGGACTCATTGCAGGGCCACGTGTGACATGTCACAAGGGGACAAGATGAGGCCAAGATGTGTTGGCACAACCTCTGCTGCCTCCCTGGGCATCCAAGGCTCCCATGGGCATGGCAGAGTGGCTCGAAGGCTGCAGTGGCATGGGGACCTGTCACAGACATGTTTTATGAAAAATCTTTTCTTTAGGGTTTTTCCTCCTGAGAAAGGCCTCAGGAACAAAATGCAAACAATGATTATCTGCTGCTGTGGAATGCAGCAGGTGGATCTGTGATTGGTCTCATGTGGTTGTTTCTAATTAATGGCCAATCACAGTCAGCTGGCTGGGACAGAGAGCCCAAGCCACAAACCTTTGTTATCATTCTTTGTTTTTCTATTCTTAGCCAGCCTTCTGATGAAATCCTTTCTTCTATTCTTTTAGTATAGTTTTAATATAATATATATGATAAAATAATAAATCGAGCCTTCTGAAACATGGAGTCAGATCCTCATCTCTTCCCTCATCCTAAAACCGCTGTGAACACGGTCACAGGGACATTCAGAGACAGACCCCAGGACACCCCAGGGACACCTGCCAGGCTCTGGGGGTGGCTGCCCACTCTGGGGGAGCCCTCTGGGGTCTGCAGCTTCAAACCCCAGCCCCGCTGGAAGTGGGGATCCAAAGGGCACAGGGCCACCAGGAGCTGCCCTTGCATCATCTGTGGAGCTGTGCCAGCCGCCAGCAGGGCCAGGGCAGCTCCAGGGCTGTGCCAGCGCCGGGGACACGCACTCGGCGCTGGCTGGGGACCTGTGCCAGCACCCTGGGGCACAGCCAGGGTTATCCTGTCCCTCTGTCGCTGTCCCCGCAGCCCCCGGGGCTGTCACACACCCCCTGTTTTTGCACAGCCGGCGGCTCTCGGGGCTGTTTGCCCAGCGCTGGAGAGGTTGGGATCAAAGGGCTCCGGTCCTTCCCGGCGCTGCTTCTGCACCTTCAAAGCCCCCGGAGCCCCTCGGAGCCCGGACAAGCTCCTGGGAAAAGCCGGGGCCGTGCCGGAGGCCACGGGAGGAAGGAAAGGAGGGAGGAAGGAGACGTGGCCGGGCGCTATAGGCTGCAGGAGGCTGTGTTCCTGTTGGAACAGGGGACAGTGCCAGCTGTGTCCCCAGCCGTGCCGCTTGTCACTGCAGGTGCTGGCACAGCACAAACCCGGGTGGCAGCTCAGTCCCTGCCCTCGGTGCAGCGCGATTTGTATCCTAAGGGGAAGAGAAAACTTCACCCGCGCTTCCCAGGGAGGGAGAAGGGCAGGAGCAGCCCGGAGGTGGCGGGGCTGCGGCTGGTGACACCTTGGGGACATGCCCGGGGCTTCCAGCGTGGGGACTGGGGGCAGAGCTGAGATTGGAGAGCAGAGGGAACATCAGCCCGGAGCCCACCGGGACCTCCGATCCCTCGGATTCCCGATGCCGCAGCTCCTGCCCCATCCCGCAAATCCCCGATCCCGCAGCTCCTGCCCCATCCTACCGGGATTCCCGATCCCACCGGGATTCCCGATCCCGCAGCTCCTGCCCCATCCTACCGGGATTCCCGATCCCACCGGGATTCCCGATCCCGCGGGTTCCCGATCCCACAGCTCCTGCCCCATCCTACCGGGATTCCCGATCCCACCGGGATTCCCGATCCCGCGGGTTCCCGATCCCGCAGCTCCTGCCCCATCCTACCGGGATTCCCGATCCCACCGGGATTCCCGATCCCGCAAATCCCCGATCCCGCTGCTCCTGCCCCATCCCGAGGCAGCCCTGGGATGCTCGGGGCTGCTCTGGAAGGACCAGGAGAACATTTAGGGCGCTGTGGCCATCGCGGGGACCCCACAACTGGGAAACCTCAGCCCCGGGCCAGCGATTTCACAGGTGCTGGAACAGACAAAGCCAGCCAGGGAAGGGCTGGAGCTGCCCTGGGACACACCGGGACCCCGGGACACACCGGGACAGCCGCCAGCCCTGCTCCTCTGCCCGCCCAGTGCCCGTTGGCAATGGGGAAACTGAGGCACGGAGCGGTGGCAGCGCTGTCCCCGGGCGGGCGGGGGCTGCCCGGGGCGATGTCACCCGCGCGTCCCCGCCGCCCCACGGGCGCTGCTCCCGGGGCCCAGCAGGTGGCGCCCGGTGCCCGCCGGTGGCGGCGGACGGGACCGGGATCGGGGGGAACAGGGGGGGAACCGGGGGGAACCGAGGGGAGCTGTGGTGGACCCGACTGGGCTGGATTGGGCTTGTCTGTGCTGGGCTGCACTGGACTGACTGCTCCGGACTTTACTGGGCTTATAGAGCATTGCAGGGCTGGGCTGACCTGGACTATACTGGGCTGTACTGGGACAGTTTTCTGTCTCCAGAGCCGGTGCTGCACCCCGGGTACCAGCTCCTAAAGCCCCCAGTCCCCCCGGGGCTGCCGGCTGGGGTAAATCCGGTGGCCTCATCCACAATCTGGGTGGAGAAAGGAGGATGCTGGGGCTGAAATGGGTTCACACACACTGTGAGGGGAATCTGTTGGTTCAGACTGGACTTTGTACCTCCGTGCGTGCGTGTGGGTAACAATTAAATCCAGGAGGGAAAGCCCCGCTGTGTTTTCACAACATTTATTGCCCTTTCTAGGAGGAACTTGGCATTGGAGAGATGCAGCATCCTGTGCTGCATGGGCAAAATGCTGCGGGTGGGAGCTGTGTGTGTCCCAGATACCCCAACTTCCCTCCAACCCGTGGCTCCTGACATCCCCAGGGGCTGCCAACCCCTCCACAACCCTTCCTCTGTGCACAGACCTCATTCCTCATGAGCACTGTGTCCCCCAGCTCTGTTTTTCTGGCGTCCTTGTTCCAGTCAGCTGGAGTTGGTGTCTTTCAGGGAGAAAATGCTCCCTGCTGGGCCTGTCAGGGCTTTGGGAAGGAGTGGGGACCTCTCCAGGTGGCATGCAGGGTGGCACCCTGAGCTGTGCCCAGTGCCAAGCCACTCTCCTGCCTGTGGTGTGAGCTGGGCAGCCCAACAGGAGCTGAGGGTGGCAGCCAAGCAGATGAGAAAGAGCCCTCAAAAACCATCTCTGCCGGCAGATGATGCCTCCTTGTCACTTGTCCCCTCTTCCCCAGCTGGCTTTGCCCTTATCCTCGGGCTGGTGGCTCAGCTGCGTGTCCCTCCCCAGCGCTTACAGAGGGGGATCCCCCAAACCCTGCCCCTCTCGGGGGGCCAAGGACGGCGCTGGGAGCCCCCGGGGGCAGCGAGGAGCCCCCAGCCCAGCGCACGGGGGGGATGCTGATCCACAACCCCATGAGCATCCCCGGTAGCGACACCGGGGGGACAGCGCGACCCCTTCACTGTATCCCATAGGGGGCGGGGCTCTGTGCATGACCACGCCCTTTATGCAAATCATGGCGCGGCGATTGGCGGGGGCGGGGCCGGGCTGCGCGGCCGGGCTATAAGAGCGGGGGAACAATGCGCCCGCGGTCCCGGCTCGGGGGCTGGCGCCGGGGTGGGGGTCCCCCCTCATCCCTGGGGCTGCCCCTCTCCTGAGCGCCCGTCCTCGCTTCGGCCGCCCCTTTTTCCAGCGAGCCGAGATGGAGTTTGACTCCTACCAGCACTACTTCTACGATCACGACGCCCTGGAGGATTTCCACCGCTCCACGGCGCCCAGCGAGGACATCTGGAAGAAGTTCGAGCTGGTGCCCACGCCCCCGCTGTCCCCGCTGGGCACCTCCGGGGACAAGGGGGGATGCTCGGGGCCGGAGGAGCGGCCGGGATGGCTCTCCCGGTACTGCCTGGCCGGGGAAGAGCCGGAGTATCTGATAGGCACGGGGCAGATCTTCGGCAACCTGAGCGCGTTCATCCTCAAGGATTGCATGTGGAGCGGTTTCTCAGCGCGGGAGCGGCTGGAGAAGGCGATGACAGAGAAACTTTCCACGGGCACGCAGAGAGCCACGCCGCACAAGCCGTCCTTCGCGCAGGATTTCGGCTTCAGCAGCTCCGTCAGCGAGTGCGTGGATCCCGCCGCCGTGTTCCTCTGCCCGCTGGCCGAGAGCAAGATCCCCGCATCCTCGGGCTCCGAGGGCCAGAGCGACTCCGGTAAGGCTGGAAGCCCGGCGTGGGGAACACGCGTGTCCGCACATGTGTGTGTGTGTGTGTGTGCAGGGAGCCTCCCAGCCCGGCTGCGCCTTTGTTGAGCCTCCGAGCGAGCCCCGGTCCCGGCCCCACGAACAAAGCGGGCTCGGCTGTTCCCCTTCCCCGCGGGGTTTCTGCTCCGCAACCCCCCGTTCCTCTCGGGGCTCCCTCCGGTTCTTGCGTGGGGGTCTGGAGCTGCCTTTCCCGGCTCCCGGCCCCACGGGAACCTCGTGGGGAGGTTGAAGGGCAAGTTTGCATCTCGCCGTGCGAACTTTGGGGCTCTGAGCGCCGCGCCGCGCTCTGCCCGGCCCGGGAATTCGGCCGCTCCCTCCTCTTCCTCCCACGGCCCACCCGGGACGCGCTTCCCTCGGGACAAAAGGCAAACTATGCCCTGGGGACAGCAGGTTTGGGAGCAGCGGCGCGTCCCCCGGGGCAGCGGCTCGGTACGACGGGCTGGAACAGCCGCCCCGGTTGCGGCGTGTCCCAGCCCAGCCCCGGGGCGCGTCTGTCTGTCTGTCCCGCGTGGGGTGCGTGCCGGTGTTCACACGGGGGGTCACCCCCGAACCCCCCACAACGGCAGTGCGGTGCCGCTGCTCCGCATCTCTCTATTTTCACCCCAATTTTCGGTGTTATTTGCAAACACCCTGCGGCTCTGCACAACCCCGCAACCCCGCCGGTGCCCGCGCGTTGTTTCCCGCGCGTTGTGGCTCCCGGAGCTGCCGTGGGAGCGCGGCCGCGGTGCCGTGACCCCGTTAATAAATCTTTCGGTGGCCGCCACCTGCGCCGGTGAGTCACGGCGCGGGGCTTAATGCCATTAGTAGCCCGGGCACTGTAAGCCAGGTCGCGGGCGTTAAGAGGCTTAACCCAAATATGCGGGGGCCTCCGGGGGCCGCGGGGATGCCGCGGGGGTCCCGGTACCGAGGGGGTCCCGGAGGGGTCCGGCCGCGCCACGTGGGCGCCGAACAAAAAGCAACAGATTGCAAACAATGAGAGGGGCAGCGCTGATGGACAGCAGCACGGACCAATGGCATGGCAGAACAGCCGGCCGGCCCCGTGGGACAGCCAATGGGAGGCTGTGGAGGGCGGGGCTAGGAGGGATGAGTTTTATTAATGAGCGTGTGTGTGTACGGGGGTTGTGACACTGATGAATGTCCCCAAACACAGGAGCTCCAATATCGGAGGGTTTGGGCTTCCTGGATGAACCTCAAAGCCTGGAGGGTTTGGGGATCGGCTGGGATCACTATCAGGAAGCCCAAAACTGGCACTCTCACAGGGGAGTGGGGCCAGGCCTCTGCCCGCGATGCTGGTGAGGGTTTGAGCGTCTCAGCCTTTAGCAAGTGGCTGTGTTTTCCCCCAAAACTTAGGAAAAAAAGCTGGAGGCTCATCCCCTGAAGTGAGAGCGATCCTAGCGGATGTGTCTGGAGCCTGCTCACCTCGCTGTCCCCAAAGCCACTGGGATGGGACAACAGCAGTGCCAACAGGCAGAATGGGACCAATTATGCCTTATTTAGGTCTTTCTGCTCCTGGGCTTGAGATGCCTTTGAGGTTCAGAGGCTGCTGTAGGGACCTCTTCACCTCTCGCTCCCTCCTTGCACAGTGGGGGATTGTCCCCTCTGTCCCCGGGACGCCGGGGCTGAATGGGCTTTATCGCTTGTGAAAAGTAGCAAGTCAGCGAGGTGGGAAGCTGCAGCCGAGGGGAACAAAGGCTACTTCTGCCCTTATATCCCTCATTTACAATTCCAATGGGCCATGAAAGCGCCCATTGGATGAACTTTGGAACCAGGCTGTCCCAGCATCCTGCTCCTCCAGCTCCCCCCACCTCGGGTGTTTCTTTCCTGATGATCCTTTATGATGAACACATGTTGCTCCTGGTGCTGAAGTGAGGCGGAAGTAAAACCCCCCAGTCCATTTTTGGGGGTCCAGGCGCATGAAACAGGGAGGGAATTCTGCTCCTTCCCCCGTGATGGTATTGAAGGGGCACTTAAATCACTCAATCCCTTCTGGATTTTTAGTTTTCCTCCTTTTAAGTGGCAAGGAAGGGCAGAGAGCACCGGCTGGGCTGGGAGAAGGCTTCTGGAGGTCGCAGAGTTTGCAGCGCATGACCAAACTTTAGTAGGGACATCTTCCAGGGAGCTGTGGAAAGGTAACGAAGGGTGGCTGACAGAGATTTGTTCTTTCTTTTCCACGGGAGCAGAAGGTGAAGAGATCGACGTGGTGACGGTGGACAAGAGGCAATCTCTCAGCCTGAGGAAGCCGGTCACCATCACGCTCCGTGCCGACCCCCTGGACCCCTGCATGAAGCGTTTCCACATCTCCGTGCACCAGCAGCAGCACAACTACGCCGCCCGCTCTCCCCCGGAGCCCTGCCCGCCTCCCGAGTCCCCCCAGCAGCACCAGGAGCAGCATGAACCCCCCAGCAGCGTGGAGCCGGCCCCTGCAGTGCCCCTGCCTGAGCCCGGCTTGCCCAAACCCAGCAGCAGCCCCGGCTCGGACAGCGAGGACGTGGCCAAGAGGAAAAACCACAATTACCTGGAGCGCAAGCGGCGCAACGACCTGCGCTCGCGCTTCCTGGCCCTCAGGGACCAGGTGCCCGGGCTGGCCAGCTGCCCCAAGACCCCCAAAGTGGTGATCCTGAGCAAATCCTCCGAGTACCTGCGGTCCCTCATCAGCGCCGAGAGGAGGATGGCGGCGGAGAAGCGGCAGCTGCAGCTGCGCCGGACCCAGCTGCTCAAACGGATTGCTCACCTTAAGGGGCACTAGCACGCCGTGTGCCCCCCATCCCGGTCCCCACAAACCCCCAGCTCCTTCTCAATTTGCACATTTTTTTTTTTTATTTTTTGGTTGCTTGTGGAACTGTTGGCCCCGGGGGCTGGAGCACGTGGGAATGGGTCCGCAGCAGAGACCCCAACAGCGTCACCTACCTGGGGTTGTTCCTGGCATTGGGTGTTCCAAGATTTCCCTTGTCCCTGCTGTGAAGCTTCCTCAGTGACTGCTCCAGTTCAAGAGCTCAAATTTATTTCCCCTTTCTGCCATCTGCTACCAACAGCATTGCTGGGAGCTGATCCTGAGCATCCACCAGCCCTAAAAACCCCAAGCAACCGCGTCTGCCTTGGCTCCTGGAGGCAGGCAGACCCAGAGCCCAGCACGGGGCTCTCCTCTGCAGAGATCCCCTGGATCCTGATGGCAGGATGTGCCTCTCAGAGCACCCCTGGCTCGGCTGGACCGTACCTCACTTCCCTGTGTCACTTCACGCAGTAGCTGGTCCTGGGTTTTTATGTTCTAGAAACTCTGCTGCTGTAACTGCGAGTCTTATACTGGAGGCTGTGTTTTTATACTGTATTTTTGTACCACTTTTTTGAGAAGTATTTGGTAAAGAGTTTGCTTTTTTATATATATATAAATATATAATTTTTTTTTTTTAAAGAGGGATTTCCTGCTGTGGGGGAGGGCTCAGTCCTGCTGCACTTTAGGGAGATCAGGAAGGGGCTGAGTCCTCGCAGAGGCCATTCACCCCCCTTGCAGCTCTCCAAACCACCCATTTGCAATAACAGGGAATTTTTATCCCTTTCCCACCCTCGTGAGCATCCTTGTGATCCCTTTTCCCACCTTTGTGAGTTCTCTTTCACCAGCAGCCACTTAAAATCCCCAGCAAAGCTTTGGGGGCTGCTCTGCCTGCCCTGTGCCCTCCTGCTGCCCACTCTGGGGGGGTATGGGGGTGGCACAGTCCCCTGTCCCCTCCCAGGGGTGCTGGCAGGGGTGGTCCCACAGGATGGCACCCTGGGGTCCCCACTGACCTGCTGAGAACTGTTAGAGTTAACACTGGTTGGATTTAGCACTTTCTTCATTACCTCATACTTCATAAATAAATAAGTTTGCAACAGCCTGGGTTGGCTTTTTCCATGCTGTGGGTTTCCATGCATCACCTTGGTGCTCCTTGGAGGGGGGGCTGCTCTGGCCCCTGGCTTTTGGGGTATCCTGGACATTAATAAAAATTAATTAATCTATTTTTTCCCCAAGGCTCAGCTGCACCAAGACTGAGCTCTTTGTCCTGGATTTCTCCCAGCGCTTGAAGAAGTGGTCGTGGTGGTGGGGCCAGAGAAATGAATCCCCTGGATTATTTTTCCTCCTTTTAAGTGGTTTTAGTGGCAAGGAAGGGCAGAGAGCCCAGGCTGGGCTGGGAGAAGGCTTTGATGTAACTGAAAACCCCCCTAATGGGGTTTGGGGCAGGGGGTGTGGGGTGATCGCTGCCCCACGGGTCAGGGGCTGGGGCTGTGTCTGGCAGTAACCCTATAGGGAGAGGGGAATGCAATCCCCTCACTTCCAGAGAGCTCCACAGCCCAGACCTGCCAAGTGGGTGAAATTATATATATGTGTGTTCTCCCTGCTGCCCCCAAACCTGACACGTTTGGGTTTCCTTTGTCCTGGCAGCAAAAGTCTGACTCTAAATGCAGGAGGGCTGTGGGATTATGTTACTGCTGAGGGCTCAGGAGCCAGAAGCTGCTGCTGGAGCCTCGATCACCGGGGGAAAACCAGCCTTAAACAGCAATGGTGCCACACAGGAGCCCTCAAACACCCATCCCTTGGTTTCCAGCAGCGTTTCACGCTCTGTGTTGCATCACACGGTGTCACAGCCTTCCAGAGCTGCATTAAAAGGTGCTCCCATGACCCACAGCTTAACCAGGGAGCGGGGTGACCTAAATCTGACACCTCGCCCATGCGCAGGAGGCACAGCCCAGATGCAGCAGCCCCACAAACGGTTTTATTTTTGTTGTGGTTTTGTGACACTCACACTCGCAGTCTCTGCTCTTTTCTCAGCTCAAGGTGACCCTCCCGAGAAGGTTTTTAGCAAATTGTGTTTTTTTCTTTTTGTGCTGAAGGTACCTAGGAAGTTTAAATCATTAATTATCTTTCTTGGAAGTGCAGATGAGCAGATCCACAGCCCGAGCCTGAGCAGGAGATGTCCCCAAAGCCCAAAGCAAACTGAAGAACTGAGCTGCAGTTTGTAAACACCTTTGAGTTCTCCTGCCTAAAGCCTGCATTCGTGTGTATCTACCTGAAACTTCCCTGGTTACTGGAGCACGTGTCTCCTCTCAAATTGTCACGGTCAGGGTGAGGGAAGGAGACTGACAGTGCTGTGAAGTGATGAAAATAAGCACACAGGGCTTTCCTTCTCGCTTGTTCAGCACTGCAATTTGTGAGTGTCAGCTGCAATCATCACAAGTCTGCACTGCCAGGGCCTGAATTTGTTATTTTTTAATGCACACTGCCCTGCTAACACCCTGCTCCTTGCTGTACCCCCCAAACCACTCCTGCTTGCCCACCACATCTTCCCTCCCATCCCCGCGCTGGCCCGGGGGTGTTGTGGGCACGATGCCGCCTTCACGCCTGGGCTGGCAAATTTTTAGGACAGTTTCCCGAGGCGGCGATAATCCCTTCCCTGCCGAGGGGGGCCAGCTGCCCGCACACCCCCGGCCCGCAGCCTCCCTCTCGCTGTTGCCATGGCGAGGGATGCGTGTTGCCAGGGAGAGCAGCGCCGCGGAGGTGCCATGGCAACGGGCTCCCCTTCTCCCTCCCCGCTGTTGCCACGGGGACAGTGCCCGCTCCCCATCCCCTCCTGTTGCCGTGGCGATGGGAAGGACGAGCCTCACTGGAAGCCGCGGTCGCCACGGCAACACGCTCCTCTCCGTTGCCATGGCAGCAGCCCCCGCGCGGCATCCTACTCTGCCCCGTTGCCATGGCAACAGCCCCGCTCCCCATGCTTTGCCCCGTTGCTACGGCAACAGCATCCTTCCCACCCGGTCCTCAAAAAGGGACTACGGGGCAGAGCCCCACGCGTGGGCAAGGCCGTGAGGGGCTTGAGGGGGTAACGGGGGGACCCGAAAAAGGCCCGCGGGAGTGGGGATGGGTTTGGGCACTCGGGACACCGGGAGGGGACCGGGCTGGCTGTGGAGACCCGGGGCACGGAGTGAGGGCACACGGAGAGGGCTGGGGAGAGGATCCCGGGCGGGCAGCGGCGCACGGAGCTCGGGGCCCGGCCCCGTCCTCCCCGCGGGCGGCCCCGGCCCCGGCCCCGGCCCGCCCCCGTCCCGCCCGTCCCCGTTCCCGGCCAGGCCATGGCGGCGGCGGCCGCGCTGTGCCTGGGCCGGGCCCCGCGGCCGCCGCGGCCGCTCGTGGTGATCCTGGGCGCCACCGGCACCGGGAAATCGGCGCTGGCGCTGCAGCTCGGGCTGCGCCTCGGCGGGGAGATCGTCAGCGCCGACTCCATGCAGGTACGGCCGGCGCCGGGCACCGGGGAGGCCGCGGCGGGGCCTGCGCCGGGAGGAGCCGCGGCCGGAGCCCGGCGGGGCCTGCGCCTGGGCCGGGGGTTGGGAGACGGCTCGGCCTCTACCGGGGCGGCCTGGGCTGCACCGGGAGGGCTCCGAGCTGCACCGGGAGGGCTCCGAACTGTACCGGGAGGGCTCCGAGCTGCACCGGGGCCTCCCGGCCTGTTCCGAGGGCGGCCTGGGCTGCACAGGGAGGGCTCTGAGCTGTACCGAGGGAGGTCCGGCCTGTACCGGGAGGGCTCCAGGCCTGCACCGGGAAAAGTCCGAGCTGGGCCTGGAGGAGCAGCAGAGCCCGGTCGGGGCCTGGAGAAGCTCAGCCCCGGAGGCTCCGGGCAGGTTCCCTCCGGTTCCTCCGGGCCCCGTGTCCGGGTGCGTGTAGGGAAGGGCCCACGGGATGGAGGCTGCCCATTCAATGTGCTCCCGGTGTCGCTGTCCTGTCCCCAGTGTCCCTGTCCTCTTCCCGGTGCTCCCATCACAGCCCTGGAACCCATCTTGCTTCCCCTGTGCCACCTCCAGTGTCCCTGTCCCCATATCCCTGTCCTGTTCCCCGTGCCTTTGTCCCAGCCCTGAAACCCATCCTGGTGCCCCATTCTCAGCTCCAGTGTCCCTGTCCCAGTGTCCCTGTCCCGGTGTCCCTGTCCTGTCCCCGGTTCCCCAGTCCCACTGCCCATCCCACTGGGCAGTTGTTTGGTTCCTGTGACAGTGTCTCTCTGTCCCCTCCCTGCCCTGTGGGCTCTGAAGATAACCAAAACTGCGGAGTTTGTTCAGAGTGTTTGTTTGAGCCTCCTCATCCCCAATAAATTCACCTTTTGGAATGGAACCGGAGCGAAGGTGTTTTAATTTTGACGCACCAGAAGCTGCAGAGAGGTGTAAAGGGTTGAGTAAGGGGAGACAGCAGCAGGAGTAACTTGATAGTAAGGAACACACAGGGTGGTGTCCTCTGGCATCAGCAAAGGGACACCAAGAGATTTGGGGAAGAGCATTAAAAATTATATTTTTTACTTGCCAGTGTCTGTGGTCTTATCTCTCACTGCAAGCAGCAGTGTGGAATATATCAGTTGTGTCATCGGGATAAGTCAACAGCAAGGGGCCAAAATTCATTTTTTTGGTCTTAATTTTGTTCAGCTACAAGAGCTTTGTCAAAGGATGGACATTTCAGCCACCACAAGAATAACAATTTTGCTGTTGCTTAGCAAAATATTTTCCTTACTGATTCACACTTTCACTGTTCACTTCCTATAGGGCGTGAACTTTCCATCAAGTTTAATGTTAAATATGTTTATTATTCTACATAAAAAGGTGTTTTCTGCCAGCAACACCCTTTGTGCTGCTCAGAGATCAATTCCTGCTGTCGTGTGCTCACCTCCCTATTTCCTGGTCACTCTTTGTGTGCCACTGAGCTAAATTTAAAACCTCACTCTCCTGAATTTGGGGCGAGCAATCAGAAAGTAATTTCATACAATATTTCCCTTAAGCTCTTGGGGAAAGAGTGATGTTTGAGCCGAACTGAAATCCTGAGAGGGCAAAACGTGAAGAGCAGGAGCTTTGCCCATCTTTAATATTGGAGAAGTGGCTGCTGGCTTGGCCCATGCTATGGCCACGAGGCTGCTGCTGCATCCTGAGCTCTGCAGGTGTGCTTGGAGCCTCCTGAATGTCTGCTGGTGGATATTTAGGAGCTGAATCCCTGCTGGTGAGATTCTGGTGGATGTTCAGGACCTGAATCTCTGCTGGTGGATGTTTAGGAGCTGAATTCCCAGTGGTGGATGTTTAGAGCTGAATCCCCACTAGTGGATATTTAGGAGCTGGATCTCTGCTGGTGGATATTTAGGAGCTGAATCTGCTTGTGGATGTTGGGAGCTGAATCTTTGCTGATGGATGTTTAGGAGCTGAATCTCTGGTGATGGATATTTAGGAGCTAAATCTCTGCTGGTGGATGCCTAGAGCTGAATCCCCACTAGTGGATGTTTAGAGCCAAATCTCTACTGGTAGATATTAAGGAGCTGAATCTCTGCTGATGGATATTTAGGAGCTGAATCTCTCCTAGTGGATGTTTAGAGCTGAATCCCCACTGGTGGATATTTAGGAGCTGTATCTCTGCTGGTGGATGTTTAGAGCTGTATTTCTGCTGGTGGATGTTTAGGAGCTGAATTTGCTGGTGGATGTTTAGGAGCTGAATTCCCACTGGTGGATGTTTAGGAGCTGAATGTGCTGGTGGATGTTTAGGAGCTGAATCCCCACTGGTGGATATTTAGGAGCTGTATCTCTGCTGGTGGATGTTTAGAGCTGTATTTCTGCTGGTGGATGTTTAGGAGCTGAATTTGCTGGTGGATGTTTAGGAGCTGAATCCCCACTGGTGGATGTTTAGGAGCTGAATGTGCTGGTGGATGTTTAGGAGCTGAATCCCCACTGGTGGATGTTTAGAGCTGAATTTGCTGGTGGATGTTTAGGAGCTGAATCTGCTGGTGGATGTTTATGAGCTGAATTGCTCGTGGATGTTTCGGAGCGTGCGTTCTGTGCCCTGCTCCTTTCAGGCCCCACCATGGGAATGCAGGCAGTGCAGGGAGGGCCCTGCTGCAGGCGCCCGAAGGCATCCAGGCTCCAGTGGCTCTTGTCCTGCTTTCCTTTTAATCTCATTCTAGCGTGACTGTGGAGCCAGGGCCCGGCAGCTCGGCTGCTTTATCCGGTAATGCAGCGTGCTGCCGAGGCGGGGCGGCCCCCGGTGCCCCCCAGCCGGGGCTCCTTTCTCCCTGCCTTTGTTCCCCGTGCCCCGTCCCCCTGCCACGCAGGGCTGCCTCTGCTGTCCTCGCAGGAGACTCGCCGGGGTTTGGAAATCCCATTGCTGCTCGGGGATTGACAGCTGCCAGCGACCGTGTCGCCCTGAGCCCCCTCTGTGCATTCATTGCTGGGCTCTGAGCAGCGCTGACAAATGCTGGCAGTGTTTTGGGGCAGCTGCTGGAGCGGGAGCCAGGCTGGGGAAGGGGCTGGGGAGCCCTGAGCCCACCTGTTCCCACACACAGGCACCCCTCTATCCATCTCCAGGGTGTTTTCGTCATGGCTCTGAGACGCTGCGCTCAAATTACAGACTTAACTGCTGCCTGCTTGCAGCTCAGGAGCTCTGGTTAATCTGCTGGCCTCTTAATCTTTCTTTTTGTCCTTTCTGTTGCTGTTTGTCATCCCAGTGATTTTGGTTGAGGAGTAAATAATTCCTTGGAGAGCCAGGCAGGGTGAAGGCAGTCGTGTTTCTTCATGCCTGGCAGTGAACGTGCAGGGATCCCTGTGCCAGCTTGATGAGGGCCCCATCCACTCATGATCCCAGGGTCCCTTCTGGATCCCACTGTCCCTTCTGGGTTCCACTGTCCATTCTGGATTTCTCCCTTGGGATGGTGATGCAGTTGCTGTAGCACACACTTGCCAGTCAATGTGTGGAGTCAGGACATCTCCAGAGCCTTGGCAGGGAGTCAATCGTGCTCTCCTTGTTTGGGTCCTCCACGCCTCTCTCCAGCATGGCCCCTGGGAAATCCTGATGTTTTCCTGGCCATAGATGGCCTGGATGTGTTTGGGGTCTGTCATGTCACCTCTTACACTCCTTGCACTCAGGGTGAGGATGGTGGTGACAGAGTTCGGAATGATGCACATAACGAGTGGCAGAATAAAGATTTGGGAGAACCTGCCCTTCCCAGGCCTGCAGATCCTGAAAATCATGATGGATTTTGTGTCCTGCCTCAGTTTCCCCACCTTTTCCACAGGGGCAGCTCTGCCCTCCCAGCCCAGTGTGGAGGCTCAGGCAGAGATGGGAGGATGCCCTCAAGGCTAAGCATCTTTAGTGCTGCCTTGTGCTCCGTGCGTCTCGGAGCCCGGCTGCTCCAGGCTGCTGCTAATCTGTTTTGGGGCCTTAGAAAGCAACAAAGGCTTATCTGAGCCGCTGGCTGAAAATAGAAATGAGTGTCAGGAGGACGTCTCGGTGCGAGGCCCTGCCGACAGCCAGCTGGTGGAAACCTTCTCAGGGCTTACTGCCTGTGTGTAAAAGGCTGCCTTTGTTTCCTGCCAGCCCACACACTGACACTGCATTCCTCCCCTTGTTGCCAGATATTCCAGGAGGCTCTGGGTGTTTAATCTGCAGGAGAAGCTGGGGATGGCAGCCTGAGTTTTCTATCCTGGATGTGTTCGGGGATGGCAGCCTGAGTTTTCTATCCTGGATGTGCTCAGGGATGGCAGCCTGAGTTCTGTGTCCTGGATGTGCTCGGGGATGGCAGCCTGAGTTCTGTGTCCTGGATGTGCTCGGGGATGGCAGCCTGAGTTCTGTGTCCTGGATGTGCTCGGGGATGGCAGCCTGAGTCCTGTGTCCTGAGTTCTGTGTCCTGGATGTGCCTGGGGATGGCAGCCTGAGTTCTGTGTCCTGAGTTCTGTGTCCTGGATGTGCTCAGGGATGGCAGCCTGAGTTCTGTGTCCTGAGTTCTGTGTCCTGGATGTGCTCAGGGATCACAGCCTGAGTTCTGTGTCCTGGATGTGCTCAGGGATGGCAGCCTGAGTCCTGTGTCCTGAGTTCTGTGTCCTGGATGTGCTCAGGGATGGCAGCCTGAGTCCTGTGTCCTGGGTTCTGTGTCCTGGATGTGCTCAGGGATGGCAGCCTGAGTTCTGTGTCCTGAGTTCTGTGTCCTGGATGTGCTCGGGGATCACAGCCTGAGTTCTGTGTCCTGGATGTGCTCAGGGATGGCAGCCTGAGTCCTGTGTCCTGAGTTCTGTGTCCTGGATGTGCCTGGGGATGGCAGCCTGGGTTCTGTGTCCTGGATGTGCTTGGGGTTGGCAGCCTGAGTCCTGTGTCCTGAGTTCTGTGTCCTGGATGTGCTCAGGGATGGCAGCCTGAGTCCTGTGTCCTGAGTTCTGTGTCCTGGATGTGCTCAGGGATGGCAGCCTGAGTCCTGTGTCCTGAGTTCTGTGTCCTGGATGTGCTCAGGGATCACAGCCTGTGTTCTGTGTCCTGGATGTGCCCGTGCAGGGCACTGGGAGCTGCTGGCTGACTCTGAGCAGCCTGTCAGCCCTCTGTGCTCGCTGGGATTGCAGGCAGGCAGGGGGAATTGGAGGAGCTGGAGGGTTGGGAATGGGGAGAGCAGGCAGGGAGCCAAAGCTCGCTGAATTCAAAGCCTTTCTGTGCCGGCTGGAGCTCCGTGTTGAATGGAGCTGCCAGCCCAGGGATCAATAAGCTGCCCACAGCCACGGGGCACGTTGGCAGAGCTGCCCGTGGGCCCGTCCTGCCTGCTCACCATGCCCTGGGGCTGCTGCCTTTCTGCAGGCTTTGCTTGCCCTCCCTCTCCCCCTCGCTTCCTGCCCCTGGGGGAGCCTTTTGGGATGGGATGGGAGCAGGAGCCAGGTCTGGCTCTCCCAGGGCTGCAGTTGAGCAAGGTGGGAGCAGAGCTGGTTCAGCAGCTCCGGCAGCTCCTCGCATGACTGCTCCAGGCAGGGCTCGGGCTTCCCTGCTCCACTAACCTCATCCCTCTGTGCCTGCTGCCCGTGGGTCACCTCTGTGTCACCTTGTCCTCCTGCCTGGGACCAGGGGAGCAGTGGGTGGAGGCCACGCTGCAGCAGGAGGCCTGGCAGCTTCTCAGAGGGGATTAAGGGGAAATTTATTTCTTGTGGTCTGGCTGGGGTGGGATGGAGGAGGAAATGAGCGCAGCCAATTCCAGTCCTTTTCCCCATCATCCCGGTTGATCCCATGCTGGGAGACTTCTGTTAAGCAGGAAGGCTCTGAGAACTAAACACATCCTTCCAAAGCACCTCCTTTGCCACTTCCTCTCAGTCCTGGGCACAGCACAGAGCTGGGCTGGACACAGAGGTTTTATGTGCCCCACCGTGAGCTGGCAGTGCTGAGGAGGGTGTGTTTGCATGGGAAGCAGGGTGAGGAGCTGTCCTCACTTCCCGTGCCTGGAATGTGCTCTGTGTGGCAGGAAGCAGTGATCCTTGTCCCCACAAGGATCTGTGCTGTGCCTGGAGAGCAGCACACCTGAGCTTTTAGCTGCAGCAGCACATGAGGGGGTGGCAGCTCGGAGGCCCTAATTTTGGGGCTCTGTGCCAGGCTGGTGACACTGCCAAGGCTTTGGCTGCACTGTCCAAGAGCTGCATCAGCCCTCCCACCCCTCGTTACAGGCTTGTATCAAAGCAGGAAAGCTTCACGAGCGGTTGGACTCCACGGTTCATCTCCCGTGGGCAGGAACAAACAGCAGAGAGAGGCAGCTCGGCCCTGGCAGGAGCTGGCAGGTGTTGGCAGCATTCCTGCTGCCCTGCCTGAACGTGGCACGTGTCCCTGCTGTGCCCTGTGCTGCCCCAGCAGGGCTGGGAGGGGTGGCTGGCACAGGGGGAAGGGGTCAGTGCAGGTCTCACAGCACACAGAGGTGAAACACTCTTCTCTTCCCCAGGTGTACAAGGGCTTGGACATCATCACCAACAAGGTTTCCCCTCAGGAGCAGCGTCTCTGCAGACACCACATGATCAGCTTTGTGGATCCCCTTGTCTCCAACTACACTGTGGTGGATTTCAGGGACAAAGCCGTGCCTCTCATATCCTGTCATGCTGCAGCCTGTCTGGCTGAGCAGGGATGGGCTTCCCCCCTCCATGGCCAGAGGGATCCATGTTTGGGCTCTCCTCATCCCAGCTGACTCCATTTTCCAGAGGATTCTGCTGGTGAGAGGGGCTTGGGGCTTCTTTTGCCCTGTGCTGAGTGTTGTCCTCCCTGGCAGTCCTGGGGTGTCCCTGAGTTTTGGAGGTGACAGAGAGTAATGAGAGATGAGGGACACCTCTAACCCTGTCCTGCAGCCTCACTGCTTCCCTGGGGCTGGGAGAGTGGGATCTGAGCCCCACACTGCTGCTCCCACAGCCTTCCCCCTGCGCTCTGATCTCTGCTTCTGCTCCTTGACTCTGGCACATTGAAGATATCTTTGCCCGGGACAAGATCCCCATAGTTGTGGGAGGAACCAACTACTACATCGAGTCCCTGCTCTGGAAGGTCCTTATCAACACCAAGGTACTGTGGGGGGCTGTGAATCCCTTTGGGAAAGGATTAATTCTATGTTTAGGGCAAACTTCCTGCAATTTGGCAATTGGAGAGGGGCAAGGAGAACCTAAAGGGGCAAGGAGAACCCCATGGCTATGGGGGATCGTGTTGCTTGCACAGGGTTTGCTTCAGGGCTGTCCTGTGGCCCACAGGAGAAGCCCAGCAGTGCCCCCAGGCTGGACAGTGACAGGAAAGTGGAGCTGGAGCAGCTGGACAGTGCTGAGCTCCATCGGCGCCTGAGCCAGGTGGACCCGGAGATGGCGGCCAAGCTGCACCCCCACGACAAGCGCAAGGTGGCCAGGTGAGCTTGGGGTGCCAGGGGCAGGAGGTACCAGGGCTCAGCGCCCCTTTCCCAGGGAGTTGTGTGCCTGGGAGCACGGCAGGATGAGCATTCCCACCCAGTGGGTGCTCCTGGGTTCGTGGTGCTGGGGACTCCGTGGGATCTGAGCCCTTTGGCCACACAGCCCCATTCTAAGCTGCCTTTGGGGTGCTGGGCTGTGCTCTGGGGCTGCTCCTGCTCCGTGCCCCAGCAGCAGAGGGTTTGTCTGGAGCTATTTAAAGAGCAAGCTGCCCTGCTGGCTGAGTAACATAGCTGAGCTCTGTGGGAACAGCGCGGCAGCAAGACCAGGCTTGCTGCTCCGTCCCAGCCGAGCCCTGGCCCCGGGGAGCAGAACGCCGCCCACCCCATTCGCACGGTGCAGGGGGATGGAGGGTGGGGCAGCAGCACAGCTCCCTCCCTGCCCGGGCTGGGCACAGCTCCACAGCAGCGTCTCAGCGCTGGTCTCCCTTCCCTGCAGCCCTGCCTGGCTGGAAAGGGCAGGGCTGGAGCCAGATCCCTGTCCCCTGCAGGACTTGTCCCTGTGCCAGGCAGGAGTGGGTGGCTGTGCTCTGGGCTCCTCGGGTGCCAGCGCTGCAGCCCCAGGAGCTGGGTGTGCGTGGATGCCGGGCACGGGACGGGGCTGGGACCTGCCCTCGCCCCACATGAGAGGGTTGGATCTCGGCAGTGTCTGCGGTTCCCTCTGCTGGAGCCCCCGGGGCTGCTGGGGCAATGGGAGCGCTCGTTCTCACTCAGCCTCTGAGCTCTGTGTGCCTCTGCTTCCAGGAGCCTGCAAGTGTTTGAAGAGACAGGGATCCCCCACAGCGAAATCCTGCACCAGCAGCAGGAGGAGGAAGGTGGGGGGCCCTTAGGTGGGCCCCTGAAATACCCACATTCCTGCATCCTGTGGCTCCACGCAGACCAGGCAGGTGAGAGCGGGCTCCTGGCTGGCTGGGCAAGGGCTCACTCCCTGCTCCTGCCTCTGCCTCCTCCCTGGAGAAGGCAGCAATTCCTCTGGCAGCAGTGGGTGTGACACAGAACTGCCAGGCTCTGCCTTCCTCAGGTGGAGCAGCAGCCTGGCAGTGCTGGCTCCTGTCCTGGCAGTGCTGCCTCCTGTCCTGGCAGGCTGTGCAGCCCCCCAGGGCATGGCTCCCCATGGCTCAGCATGTCCTGCTCTCCTCCTGCAGCTCTGGATGCACGGCTGGAGAAGAGGGTGGATGACATGCTGGCTGCAGGGCTGCTGGAGGAGCTGCGCGACTTCCACCGCCGCTACAACCAGCAGAAGGTGGCAGAGAACCGGTGGGTGAGCAGCCAGGTCCCCTCTGCTCCTCCCTCTGGGGGTCTCCCACCGTGACCCTGCCTTTGGTTCTCCAGGCAGGATTACCAGCACGGCATCTTCCAGTCCATTGGCTTCAAGGAATTCCACGAGTTCCTCGTCAGTGAAGGGAGTTGCTCACCCGAGACCAGTGCCCTGCTGCTGGAGAAAGGTGAGGGCAGCGCCCTGTGTGCCCCACAAAGCTCCAGGTGACACCACAAGGTGCTCTAAAAGGTCACAGCCCCAGGTGCGCCTTTCTCTCTGCATTTCCCACTTCTGGCAGCCCAGAGGGGCAGGGACTCGTTTTCCAGTGATTGGAGAGCATCTCTGAGCACACCCAGAGCAGCCCTTCCCTCCCCTCAGGCCTCCTTGCAGGGTGCACAGGGTACAGGTGACTTGGGAGCTGGAGCAGGTCCACCTGGGTGATGGAATCCCAGCTGTGGAGAGCAGGGCTGGAGAAGAGGAATGAAGCAGAACTCAGCATGTCAGCAGCTCTGTGGTGGTGAGGAATGTGGGGATCAGTCAGCAGGGATCATCCCTTTGGTGCTGTGTTACTCTGGAATGTCTGGGCTGATGTTGGAGGGGAGCTGCTCTCTACACAGGGAGGGCCCAGGCAAAGTCCATCCATGCCAAGGAGGGTTCAGTGTGAAAGCAGAGACTGAAGAAGCCACAGAAATGATAAAAGGCTTGAAAACAAGTCTGATGCAGGAGGAACTTGTTGTGTCTGCTCAGGAGATGATTAGGAGGGATTTGATAAGCCTGGTACTAAATACTGAGCAGTTGTAGAGTGGTAAATCATCCTCTGCTGGGTGGGATGAGCAGTCCTGGGCTCCATTTGTGCAGGGAATTGGGCATTATGAGAGCAGTGCAACACTTGAACAGGTTGTCCTACCTGCTAAAGCTTCAGGGTGGAGGGTTTGGGCTCTTTGCACCCTCTGTTTATTCAGGGATATTTGGGGTACCTTGTCCAGCCTCTTCTCGGTGCAGGCACAGACAGGAAAAATAATTCTCATGCTGCCACCCAGCACAAACTTCTTTCTTGTGTGATTTCTCTCCCCTGGAGCTGACAGTCTCTTCTCACTGACCTTTGGGGTTTATTTCTTCTGTTTAATCCCCTGTTCCAAAGGGATCCAGGCCCTGAAGCAGGTGACCAAGAGATACGCCCGCAGGCAGAACAAATGGGTCCGGAACCGCTTCCTGAAACGTGAGTCCTCTGCTCCCAGCTCTGCTCATGCCCCATCTCAGCTCCACAGGGCACTCTGGGGCTTTGGGGCAGCCTGTGTTTGGGGGTCTGCTCCCAGCCAGACCCTCCAGGAGCCTCCCAGTGTCCCCATGCACCCGCAAGGCTCTGCCTTTCCCACTGGTTTGGGTTGCAGAGTGGATCTCCTGCCCTGCTGAGAAGTGTTCTGCCCACAGCCTCTCATCCCAAACACTCAAGAGACACTCAGCTCTGGCTCCTGTATCCCTCTACCCCATCCCCTCCCAGCCATCAGGAGGGATAATTCCCAAGCAGAGGCTCAGCCCCATGTCAGGCACTGCTAGATGATGATGATGATGATGATGATGGTCACAACATCCCTGCAGCTTATCCTGCCACATGGCTCAGGGAGGGGGTCCCCACGCACCCACACATGCTCCTGGCATGGAGCAAAGCCCATTTGACAGCTGCCCTCCAGATTAGGAGCAGCAGCCCCGTGGCTGCTCCCAGCCCAGGCCGTGCTCTGTGCGGTGGCACGGAGCCAGCAGGACTTCCCCAGCCCAGCCCCAGCCTTGGAGCAGGGCCAGCAGCAGCAGCTGGGAGCCGGGCACTTGTTGAAAGGTGCTCAGTAGGGGCAAAACAACAATAAAATAAATAATGGTAAAAAAAAAAAAAAATAAAGAGGAGGCAGGGAGAAACTCGAGTCAAGAAAAGAAGGACGTTGAAGGAGGTGCAGGGGTTTTGGCAGAGTGGGCTCAGCTCACCTTTCTGGTGGCAGGTGTGCTTCAGATGGGCCTGGCAGGGGCTTGTTTGTGGGCACAGCAATAAAAGCAGCACCTGCTGGGGGCTGGCACGTGGAGCCTTTGATGGCTTTGTCCAGGCAGGGGCAGCCAGGTGCCCGTGGAGGGCAGGTGAGCCATGGAGAGCAGCCAGGTCACCCAGGGAGCAGGTGCTCTCTGCTGGCAGCTGTTTCACCCTGTCCTGGCTGCAGCCAGTGCCCTGTGTCCTGGCATTGGGCCAGGGCAGGCCAGAGGGGTGGCCGTGAAGCTGTCCCTTGTCCTTAGTAAAGCATCTCCTGCCAGGAACCCGGAGCATCAGCCCCTGCACAGTCAGTTCCAGCTCTGAGTGGGGATCTGCACGCTCAGATCCCTCATCCAGGCTCCCTGCCTGCCTCTCCTTGTCAGCCCGCTGTGGTGCCTTTGTGCCTGCATCCAGCTCTTTCATCCTCCCAGCCTCCTGTGCACCAGGGCTGGGCTGAGCTGCTGCTTGTTGTGATGGGCTGTTGGCATGCTCACGTTCCAGAACATTCTCCCAAGGGCAGCCAGCTGTGAAGATGCTTCCCTGAATCCTGAGGTGTTCCTGCTGCTTGCAGGAGGGAATTTTGGCCCTGGACAGCCTGGTGCTGTTGGTTCTGAGTGCTGATAGGAAAAAGCAGATCCCTCTGCTCCCCCTGGGTTCTGGGAGGGGGTGCTGAGGGTTTCTGTCTGGTGCTGAGCTGCCCTGTGGTGTTTCTGTAGGTCCTGGGCCCAACGTGCCCCCAGTCTATGGCTTGGAGGTGTCTGATGTGCAGCGCTGGGAGGAGGATGTGCTGAAACCTGCCCTGGAGATCGTGGAGAGCTTCATCCAGGTACTGGGGAGATGGACTTTGGCTGGCTGACCTCTCTGTGGTCTCCAGGCCCCCTCACTTGGCGCACAGCCTGTCCCTGGAGCAGGGCTGGCTGTTCCCATGCCCAGCCTTGGCATTTCCTTGCAGTGGTACATTTGTTGTCTCATCTGAACATTTTCCCCAATGCCCACTGCTGCACTTGGTAAAACTCTGCTCTCTGCCTTGCCAGCCTGTGTCTGAGTCTTCCAAGCTCCCATCCCAACCTCTGTGAGAGTGAACACAGGCAAGTTTTGGTGTCAGAGCCCAACCTGAGGCATTATTTGATGTGCAGGGCCGCGAGCCCCCGGCAGAGCCCCTGAGGATGGAGCAGGACGAGGAGAACAAGCGGAGCCATCGCGTGTGCGAGCTCTGCGCCAGGCTCATCATCGGCGACAGGGAGTGGGCAGGTAGGGCCCTCACAGGGCACAGGGGGGCACCTGGGAGGGCTGAGCTTCTCTGTGCTGCTGGAGCAGCTGCCCTGTGGCCAGGTGACCCCCAGCTCATGGTCCTGGCCTTTCAAAGGGTTGTTTGCAGGAGCAAACAACAGGAACCATCTGTTAGGATTCCCTCCTTCCCTAGGCTTCCCCTCCCTTCCCAGCACCCTGAAAACACAGAGAGCATCACACCAGAGATCTGCATGTGGCATCTGAGAGCTGCTGTGTTTATCAGGGCTCCTGGTCCTTCACAACACTCTGGATGCTTCCTCAAAAAGCACAGAGCAAATCTCGCTCCTCTAAAATTCTGTTGTGTAAATGAAAATTTCATAATGTTTCTAATAGTTCAGCTCTAATATTTCCTATTTATGTGTGTGTGTGTTTTTTTTTTTTAAACTATTCCTAGCTGTAATAGAAAGGGATTTTCTGTTTTCCATAGACTTACTTTAAAAGAGCTCAGCTGGAATCAGATTAAGTCAGTGAATTTATCTGTGCTGGGAGGCTCATGCTGAGAACCAGAAACAAAAAGTCATGGAGAAACTGGCTGCAGAAATGAAACTGGTAAATCTCCATGTGTTGCCCAAGTACAGGATGTGCAGGGTCATGGTTTAACCCCAGCATCTGAGCCCCCCACAGCCACTCCCCCACTCTCTGTCTCTGGGAGAATTGCAGAAGGGTGAAAGTGAGAAAATTGGTGGGTCGAGTTAAAGTTTAATAGAGAAAGCCAAGCAAAACTAGGAATTAATTCACTGCCTGCCATGGTTGGGCAGATGCTCAGCCATCCCCAGGAAAACTGGGCTCCATCACATCTGACATGACTTTGGGAGGACAAATGCCATCACCCCCATGTCCCCCCCTTCCTTCCCCCCAGGATGTGTGATCTGCATGGCCTGGGGTAAGCTGGGGTCAGCTTTGTCCCCTCCACCCCCCTGTGCACCCCCAGCCCCCTCTGTGTTGCTGTGAGGAGCAGAAAAGGCCTTGAGTCAGCTCCAGAGCTCCCAGCAACAACAAAACATCCCCGAGTTATCAACCCTGATCCAAACACAGCCCCAGAGCAGCTACTGGCAGGGAAATCAACTCTGCCCCAGCCAAAACAAGCAGCTGAGACACAACCAAAGATAAATTTCCCAGGTTGTTGGGTTTGAAGGAGTTGCTTATTCCTGGCTGAGGCAGGGAAGTGCTGAAAGCGAAGGCTGGAGCTGCTCTTTGGGGGAGGCTCCTTGCAGTGAGATCAGTTAAGTGCAGTTGTTGTTTTATCTCAGCTGCCTCAGGAGGTGCTTTGAAGGAGCTCTGTTTGTCCAGAACTGAAAACTCTCGGGGTCTCTGGCATCATTTAGGTCTAGAAAGTTCTGTTTTGAGTGGGAGCTCCTTGAGGTCCCCCCAAATCCCTCCATGTCCTTAGGGATGTCACCCCAGACACCAGTAAATGGTGACAGTGCCTCCCTCAGCCAAGAGCAGCTGTTATTCTCTGTATCCAGCTGAACTGGACTCAGATCCACAGGTGGTGGGAGAAAAACACTCCAAAGCCTGCAAAATGGAAAAAAAGGAAGGTGAAAACAGTGGTGGGAACTGGGTGGATCTGCACTCTGCTCTGTTTGCTTAGGTCAGGTGACGGGGAGTTTTGGGAACTGCTTTCCCAGCACCCTGCTGGCTCTGGGGGATTTTAAAATTGTAATTTTACAATTTATATGGACTTGAAGAGCACAACTCCCAGACAGCAGCAGCAATTGGCACTTCCTCAGCCACTGTAGCTTTGGTGTTGCTTGTGACAAATTGCAGGAGGTGAGACTTTATCTCAGGGGGAGGGTGACCCTCCAGCATTGTGATAAAGCAGCAGCTTTGCATGTGATTTCATCCTTTGGCAGAAAAAGAATGGCTGGAAAACACCTGAGGGCCTTGATTCAGCAGAGTACATACCCTCGTTTAATTAAGGCCCTGCTGGAAAAGTTTGTGCTTTAATTGCTGCTCTGATCTCTTGGAAAAGGCAAAACCACCCCGCCAAGATGGTCAGACAAAGCCTCCCCTGAGATAAAACCGCTGATAAGGAGGTTTGGCTGTCCTTAAGGATGTGATTTCATGGAGAAATGCAGCTCCTGCTGCTCCAAGCTGAATCCCTGGGGTTACCCCTCTGTTCCCGTCTGACTCCTGCTGCACTGCTCTCATGGCTGGGGCACTGCCCTGGAGTTATCCAGAAGTTTAAATTCTGCCCCAGGCTTTTCCCTGGCTGCCCTGTAGGATGCACAGCATCTTGCCAGTGCTGTGGTGCAGGGATCCAGTCCTGCAAACCATTCTGGCAGCTCTCCGTGGGGAGCAGGGAGTTGCACAACCTCACCTGCAGCCTGCGGAGTGGCACCTCTTGGGCAGCACATTCCCTCTTCCCTGGCACTGACAGCCTGGAATCTTCTGCTTGCACAGAACCAGCATTTTTCCCTCTCTCAGTTCTTCCTTTGTCCTCTTCTGAGCCCTGACAGTTTGGCCTGGAAGTGTCCAGGGCAGGGTTTGGGAATTCGCTTTTCCCTGGGAATGAATTGTGCTGGCAAGGGAGGGTGCTCTGCCCTGCGTGGGGGGTTTGGCTGCTTCCTCCTCCAAATTCCACAGATTAAAGGCTCTGTTTGCCTCTTCCTCCAGCTCACACACGTTCCAAATCCCACCTGCACCACCTGAAGAAGAGAAGGAAGCTGGAGGCATCCGGAGGGACCGTGGGGGACAGTGGGGACACAGAGACCTCGGACGAGGATGGCAGCCTGCCCGTGCCTTAGGGCTGGAAAAGGGAGCAGCTGTGCATCCACCTGCATGGAGAGGAAGCTCCTTAGTGCTGGGCAGCCTTGAACCAAGGAGCTGAGTCATTTTTTTTGGGGGGGTGAGGCAGGTGTGTGACAAAGGCAAAGGCTGCATGGGATCCTCTTCATGTGGGCTCATCCCGCTGTGTTCCCATGCTCCCCCAGCCCTGCCTGGAACGGGCTGGGCCCCGGGGCAAGGCTGCTGGGAGCCTCCTCCCATGCAAAGTGTGAATTCCTGCCAGGGCTGCATCCTTGGAATGGCTGAGCTGCTGCTCTGTGGTTGTGTGGATCTCAGAGACAGAAATACCCCCACTCCTCCAGCTTGGCCGGGGGTGCAGCTCTGGAGCCGAGCCAGCTCTGCTTGCCTTTATTGTGGAGAGGATATTTTTTTTTTTTTTTTGTTCTTTTACATGCAAATAAAGCTGCAGGATTATTGTGGGTTCCCCTCCCTGTTAACAAGCGCGGTTTCCTTGCTCTCTGATTCTACCTGGCTCCTGTTCCCTGCTCTGGGCGCAGGGCAGGAGATCTGGTTCCTTCTCCCAGTCACCTTTTCCACAGCTCCTGGGGGAGCTGAGCAGATGTTCCCAGCCTGGTGGGGGCAGGGAGCCCTGCGCACACAGCAGGTGCAGGAGGAGCTGGCACCTGTTAAACAGGAACTTGGAAATGATCTCATCGAGTTTGCAACAGATGAGCCTGTCCTAGTTAAGGCAGAATTCCCGGGGGGTTACTCTGTGGTTTGGCACTGGGAACCAGCCGTGAATTTGAATCCGAAGCTACTGAGCAGCAAATTCCTGGTGCTGTGTCCGCCAGGCAGTTGGTGTCCCATTGTTGTCCCTGGAGGATGTGAGTGCCATTTGTGCCTGGAATGCTGCTCTGGTGAAACCAGGACAGCCTTTGGGATTCTCCTGGCAAATTCAAAGCCAGGAGGGTTTGAGGGTTGGTAGAGCACAAGTTTTTCCTTGTGCTGTGCCATGTGGCAAGAGCCAGGGCTCGTCCTACCAGGGAAGGGCTGCGTGGGTGGATTTGCTGGTGCGGGCTCTGGAGATTCCTGCTTTGGTGGGGATTAGATTAAAACCTCCAGTTTGTGTTCCTCAGCATGGAATTATTCCTGTAGTGCCCCGTAGGGTGCCTGCCTCGGGCTGTGGGAGGGAAAAGCTGGGAATTTGGCACTGGGCAGAGCTGGGTGCTGCTTTGGAATGCTGGGCACTGCGGTGCTGCTGGGTCTGTGCAGTGCCAGCTGAGCCTCTTCTCCAGCCCAGACTTGTTTGCCATCCGTGCTGACTCAACCCATGGATGTGGGCTCAGCCCAGTGCTGGAACACAAGGCCACGAGGAGGTCGTGGCATGGAATTGTGTCCTCCCATGGGATTGTATTCTCCCATGGGATTGTGTTCTATGGAATTGTGTCCTCCCATGGAATTGTGTCCTCCCATGGAATTGTGTTCTCCCATGGAATTGTGTTCTATGGAATTGTGTTCTCCCATGGAATTGTGTTCTCCCATGGGATTGTGTTCTCCCATGGAATTGTGTTCTATGGAATTGTGTCCTCCCATGGGATTGTCTTCTCCCATGGGATTGTGTTCTCCCATGGGATTGTATTCTCCCATGGAATTGTGTTCTCCCATGGAATTGTGTTCTCCCATGGAAATGTGTTCTCCCATGGAATTGTGTTCTATGGAATTGTGTTCTCCCATGGAATTGTGTCCTCCCATGGGATTGTGTTCTCCCATGGAATTGTGTTCTCCCATGGAAATGTGTTCTCCCATGGGATTGTGTTCTCCCATGGAATTGTGTTCTCCCATGGAATTGTGTTCTATGGAATTGTGTTCTCCCAGCCTGAGGTTGAGCTGGGAATGGAGCCCCATGTGTGCTGAGCTGGTTTGTGACAGGCAGCTCTGAGATGTTGAGTCATCTCCCCAGGCCAGCCTGGGATCACTGGGGCAGCACTGGGAAGGAGGGCTGGGATTATCTGCTCCGGCTCCCGAGTGCAGTCAGATGTCCGTGCTGTTAGAGGTGGATTAAATATCCTTAATCGGTTTAATATGAACTTTGTTATCCCCACAGATTCATGTCATTCCTCTTCCCCAGTAGCCTGTTCTCTTCAGGAGCCTGTTTGGGATGGGCTGTGCTGGGCAGGGGCTGCCAGGCCTTGGTTCCCAGGCGTTCCAGGTGAGCAGGGTGTGCCACACTTCCTTGTCCATGCAGTGGAGGGAGGACTCGTGCCCTGATCCTGTCAGCACCACAATGCAGGTGGGATTTCTTCCTTGGAGAGCTGCCATGGAGAGCAGTTGATTTGAGCAAGGCCAGGGCAGGGAGGTCACACTCGGTGTTTTGTGCCTCTGCTCTTGAAGGTGTCCAGGCAGGGGCTGGATGGAGCTCCTGGCAGGGTCACACCAGTTCCTGCTGCTCCGGGCCCTGCAGAAGGGACAAACAATGCAGGAATCGCTCTCCAGTCCCAGGCAGGGCTCGCTGAGAAAGTTGTTGTGGTCTCAGGTTTCAGGCTGCTGCCAGTGCCGGGAGGTTTGGGGATGGGGAATGGCTCTTCACTCCATCTGCCCCGCGCTAATCCCCAGACAAACGCGGCTCTTCCATCTGTGCAGCCGGAGCCGCCGAGCCCATCACACCAGCCACTTAATCTAAATGGCTTTGGCCAAAGATAAGGTCATTAATTACACTGGGATTAGAAAACAGCCCCGGCGTGGCTTGGCTCGCCATCAATTAAAGCCCTCGGCACCCTGGTCTGGCTGAGCACGGAGCTGAGAGCCTGAGCAGGGGGAGCTGCGTGTCCTTGCTGGCCGGGCACCATCCCGGTGCCACTGCCTGTCCCTGGCGCTGTCCCCTCGATGGACACTGGCATTTGGACACGGTGCTGGCAGGGCTGGGTGCCAGGAGGAGCACAGGCAGATCCAGGGGTTCCCCTGGCACCGTGGCAGCCCAAATCCTGCATGGGCATCACCTCCTAATGTGCATCCTCTGTGTGCTGCCTCCAGCAGCCCCTGCCAGGGCTCCAGCCCCGATTGCTGCCCACACGGGTGGCACTGTCCCCAGAGCTCTGAGCTCTGATGATCAAGGTGTTGTACATCCCTTTGGGTTCACTTTTCTCACCCGGTTTTGGCTCTGAAATGCTCCCACAGGGAAATTCTCACCCGTGCAGCGCTGCCCTTTGCCAGCGTGGCACGTGCCACCTGCTCTGCCCTGAAAGTGCCACCTTGGCGACAGGCAGGGCTGGGATGTGGCACGAATTTGGCCTCATCCCTCCCCTCACAAGCAAGGGGGGGTGTTATGGGCTCTGTGCCAGGAGCTGGCCGGCACAGGGACACTGGGACACAGCTGCCACCTCTCCCAGCACCGGTGACCAGCTGGTGTCTGTGCCCTCACCCTCTGGTGGCTTTAAAGGATCCTGGTGGAGAGTCCTGCGTGGTGACGCTGTCCTGCCCCGTTCCCACACTGCAGGGACACTCCTGGGACACGCCAGGCACCGTCTGGGGGACGGTGTCACTTGGGGACAGCAGCTCCTGCAGACACGCAGCAGCTGCGGCCACCACAGAGCCGTGTCCTCAGCTCCCAGGTGGGATCCTTGTCCTGTGGGGGGATTTAATGGGACCCTCGGGGTCCCTTTGGGCTCAGCAGGGCTTGGCTGGCACCGCTGCCACCACAGGGACAGTGGGTCAGAGGGACTCACGGGGAAACTGAGGCACAGCTGGCAGCAGGGCCCTGCTGGGGAGCCCGTGGCCCATCCATGCCTTGGCAGCATTTCAGGTGGCTGTGGCAAAGCCAAATGTTGCAAGAGGCTAAAAATAAAAGGAGCTGTTGGCCGTGGTTGTGCAAGAGCCGTGTCCCCGTCCCGCCCTGCGCGGGAGCTCGGTGCCTTTGGCGGCAAACCCGGCTGGGCACGGCAGGATCCTGGCACCGAGCCCGGGAAATGCCACTGCCCAAAGGGATGGGGGCTGTCCCCCCTCCTCTCTGTCGCCCCCGGGCAGCCCTGGGGCTGGGGAGGGGTCCATGGAGGCTTGGGGTTCCCATGGTGGAGCAATTCCATCTCAGGGATGCTGCCCAGCACACACAGGGGGCAGCGGGGAAACTGAGGCAGAGCCGCCTCGCAGGAGGCTCTGGGGCTGTGGTGTCACCCGTGGGGTGCCCATTGTCATCCCCAGGGACAGGGAGGGGCACGGTGCCCGTTCCTGCCCTGTGCCAAGCGGGAAAGGCGGCGGGAAGGAGCGGGCTGGCGGGGCACCAAACCGCGGGGCACCGATCCGAGCCACCCTGAGGGTCCCCTGAGGGGTGACACAGCCCCAGCTCGGGGGGCTGTGGGTGCGAGGCCGGGTGGGTGCCCCCAGGGCTGGTTTGGCACAGATGAGACCACCGGGGCTGACTTGGCACGGGTGGGGCCAGGAGGTTTAGCTTGGCGCAGGTGGGGCCAGTGGGGCTGGTTTGGCACGGATGGGTGCCCCCAGGGCTGGTTTGGCACGGATGGGTGCCCCCAGGACTGGCTTGGCACGGATGGGTGCCCCAGGGCTGGTTTGGCACACGTGGGTGCCCCAGGGCTGGTTTGGCACGGCTGGGGCCAGCCGGGCTGCGTGTCGCGGTGTCACAGGGCCATCTGCCGGCAAAGGCACCGGCCCTGCCACCCGGGACCGGTCTCCAGCAGCATCTCCAGTGCTCCCAGTCTGCAACTGCAAGGAGAGGGCTGGGCTGGGGCTCTTGTCCCTCCTGGTCACTGTCAGAGGTGGCATTTGTCCCGCAGGGTGTCACGGAGAGGGGACACGGCTGCAGCCTCGAACAGATTAAATGTCATTTTATTTCACACCCCCCCAAAAAAAAAAAAATGTAGAAAAGAAGAGGTGAGTGTGGATTTAATTGCTCGTATTAAAAATCTACCAGGTGAGACTGAGCCGTTTCCTCCAGAGTCAGTGCAGATCCACAGGGATACTTCTTCCTTCTCCTCCTCTTCCTCCTCCTCCTCTTGGGGACCAGCATGGGGACAGGGGCACCAGCTGCCCCCTGCCCAAGGTGCCCCCGTGCCATGGGCACCCTGCTGCCAGCCCCACCAGCATTCCCTTGCCCGGGTCTCTCCTGCCTGGCCCCTGTCCCGTGTCCCCACGGTGCCACCCATGGTGTCACCCACACCTCGTGTCCAGGAGCAGGCGCTGATTTGGGGCTGGGAAGGGGCTGGGGAGGGGGGCAGGAGCCCGGGCCCGGTTTGATTTGTTTTCAGCGTTTCTGTGCGTTCCTCGCTGTCCCTTTTCCCTCTGTACAAAATGAGCTGTATGGTCATGGGTGACACGGTGACTGCGGCCCCGGTGGCCACGCCGCCCTCACTGCAGCAGGGCCCGGATCTGTTTGGACGTGGTGTCGTCGTTGAGGTGCCGAGTGGTGTACCTGGGTGGGGAGGGGACACAGCTCACAGCAGGGTCCCTCTCTGCTGTCCCCACTCCCCAGGCTCTGTCCCCAAGCCCCCGCCTCACCTCAGAGCGTTCAGGAGCCCCTCGGTGCTGGTTGAGGGTTGGTCCTTCAGGACTTTAATGCAGCCTTTCATCTAAAGGGGGCACAGAGCAAGGCTCCATCAGAGCTCCATCAGAGAGGGGCTGTGATGCCGCAGACATATTTTATGAAAAATCCTTTCCTTAGGAAAGAATTTTTTCTCCTGAGAAGCTGAGAGGCCTCAGGAACAAAATGTAAACAGTGGTTATCTGCTGCTGTGAAATGCAACAGGTGGATCTGTGATTGGTCTCATGTGGTTGTTTCTAATTAATGGCCAATCACAGTCCAGCTGTCCGGACTGTCTGATGGAATGATTTTATTATCATTCCATTCTTTTTCTATTCCTTGCTAGCCTTCTGATGAAATCTTTTATTCTATTCTTTTAGTATAGTTTTAATATATAATATATAATATATAAATATAATATATAATATAGTATATAGTATATAGTATATTAATATATATCATAAAATATATATCAATATAATATAATATAATATAATATAATATAATATAATATATATCATAAAATAATAAATCAGCCCTCTGGAACGTGGAGTCAGATCCTTCTCTCTTCCCTCATCCTGAGGCCCCAGTGAACACCACCACCCTGAGACCCCTGTGATCCCCCTTCCTCCCCATCCTCAAGCCCAGGGATCACAGCTGCTGTGACATGGCCGTGACCCCCCAGCTGTGACCCCAAAACCACTCACATCGATCTTAGATGTCTTGGCGAAGGCCCCCACGGGGTGCACGTGGTCGTAGAGGATGATGACGCCGACCATCACCCTCATGCAGAAGAGCAGCGTCTCGGTGTTGGTGAAGCGGCTCCGGTACTCCCTGGGTGAGCAGAGAGGCTGCCTGAGCCTGGCAGGGGTGGCACGGGCACCCCAGGAGCGAGGTGTCCCCCCCAAACCCCAAAGCGGGGCACTCACGGCGTCTCCAGCATCACCCTGCACACGCAGGCCATGGTGCTCAGGCAGTCGGTCGTGTCTTCGATGGGGAGGGTCTTGTTCTGAAAGCCAACAGGTCCCAGCTGCTGTTTGCCCCGTGTGTGGTGGCTGGAGGGGGTTTCTGCCCCCCC